AATGGATACTATAAAGCTCTAGAATTTATGACTGAAAACAAACGAATATTAAACTGTTGAAAATATTTCCCTGTCTACTACTAATATAATTGTATTAGGAATAGGAATAAGATAAGAAAATAAAAATATAAGAATATAAAAAAACTTTGTAATTTGCTATCATAGTTATGATATCACATACTACATGGTAAATAAATTTTATGTGTTGTATGTGTTTTGGCTAAATTTTTAAACTGAAAACTTGACTAGAAGACTAAAATTTTGTTTAACAACCTTTGTAGAAAAATTTTCACACTCATTCTTAGTACAAATCTTCATTAATTAAACCAATTAATACTTAGTGAGGGTGTGTGCGTGCACATTAGCTTTGCATGCAGCATGCATTACATGCATTTTAGCCACACTAACCAACATATAGAAATTTTTGATAAATAACTGATGATACAGTCTTGAAAAATGTAAGAATCTAATGGACTTATATAACTTACAACCAAATTTGTGTATTAATTTGGTGGCAATTATTTCTTGTATTACCTATTTGGAACATTAATAAGATAATTGTCATTAAAAATTTAAATGAGGACCAAATTGGAGTCGGCATTTAAATGGCAAGAATGCTTTACTTGACAAGTTTTTAAACACATTTCTCTTTCTTCTTTTTTCATTAAATTAAATGAAATTTTTGTACATTTAAAGTGGCTAATATTATGTGGGAAATAAAACAAAATCAACTACAAAGTAACAATTTAGAAATTCAAAAACAATCAAGGAAAAACTGGAAAGGAAAGTAATTATTTCAGCTGAAAAAAGTTAGAGCAAAGAAAACATGTTGTGGGTATTCCTATTCAATAGCTTATACACACCACCCTTGGCTTTGTTCATAACTTTGGTTAATAAGGTAAAATAAAGAATTATTGATGCACAAATTGCACTCTTTTATGTATGTATGTATTTGCTTAACGGATGTATTAAAATTTTAAATAAGTTTTTATAAAATAAATTTTGTGCTGCTCAAATAAAACAAAAGGTTATTAGTATTTAAATGTGTGGTATACTATGCTTTATGCATTTAACTTGCCTGTAACTTGCCTATTCTGTTGAAATTTTTACAAATAGATAAATAAATAACTATGTTTCAGGCTGCTTTTTCTACTTCATGAAATTGAAGATGAAAAAATTTTTCAGTAAGACTAACCATGTTTTTCGAATGCTTACTATTTTAAATTTAACAGTTTTTAACAGTGGTAGAGCCACGCAGCAGCCTTTGCTGTTGCACGCATAGGCCGGCTTAAACCGAGGTGGTACCACGACCTCACAGAAGACCGGCGTGAAGTGGAAGCTCTGCTTCTGCATTTCGTCTGGTGAGTGCAGGTGGCCGGAGGCTCACTCCCCCCCCCCATCAACATGGTAGCGGAATTAAATGCAAGACTACCCGAGGAGGGTACTAGCACCCCTGGAGAATCCCTCGCTGAGCATCCCCGACCAAGCTACTCCACTCCTGAGCGTGGGTGCTCAGGCTGTCCCGCGTAATCTGGGGGGGGGGGGGCCAAAATTCCGCTCGAGACTAAACCTGGTCGGGCCAAAGGGAGCAATAAGTCAAAGGCGCCTCCTGCCATGCTATCCATGAGTTTCTGCAACATCAGGGGACTTCATTCAAACCTTAACTCCACTACTATCTGGAAACGGCGAAGACGCCCTTGCTCTTTCTAACCGAAACACAGGTGTCCTCTCTGGCTGATGCTTCGTATCTCTCCTACCCGGGGTACAAATTAGAACACACTTTTGTGCCCCGGGCTGGAGTTTGCGTGCATGTCAGAGAGGACATCTGTTTTCGACGCCTCGGCAGCCTTGAAGGTACGGACTTGTCCATCTTATGGCTGCGCGTAGACAGCGATGAGCATCCCCGCGTCTACGGATACCTCTAGTTTACATAGGTCCCATAGCGGTAATGCCGAAACAGACCGACTCATCGACCACGTCCAGATGGCTACAGACTCCGTGCTACAACAGATCCCATCCGCAGAGATAGTGATACTTGGAGATTTTAACGCCCACCACGCTGAATGGCTTGGTTCTCGTTTAACCGATCATGCGCAGGTAGATCTGTTTATGACTTTGCTTTGGCATATGGTCTGACGCAACTGGTTACCTCGCCTACACGGATCCCAGATGTGGAAGATCATGTACCTTCCCAGTTGGACCTTCTGCTGACCTCTCATCCGGACGGATAATCAGGTCTCCGTCGATGCCCCTCTTGGCTCCTCGGACCATTGTCTGATCCGGAGTACGGTGTCACTCACGCACTCATCGCGGTTGCGTACTGCAGGTTGCTGCCGTGTTTGGCATTATAGGTCAGCAGACTGGGACGGGATGCGATCTTTTTCTGCAACGCTGCCTGCCCCCAACGGTAGTTGGGGGCGGGTTTGCTTCTCGCCGGATGATCCCAGCATTGTTGCTGATTCTGTCGCTGATGTGGTGCTACAGGGAATGGAACTTTTTATTCCATCATCTGCGGTACCTATCGGAGGCAACCCAGCCTTGGTTTGGTCGCTCCTGTAAAATTGCACTACGCCACAAGCAGGAGTGCTACCAGGCCTGGGCTCGCGCATCGACGTCTCGGGATGCAAATACCAGCGCCTTTAAAAAGAAGTACAATTCTGCCTCCAGGTCCTTAAAAGTGTCATTGTCAAGGCAAAGTCAGAGCACATCGGCAGAGTTGGCGAGAAACTAGTTCGTCTTCCTTCGGGGACACGTGCATTCTGGTCTCTCGCCAAGGCTGTCCAAGGGAACTTCTGTCAGTCATCTGTCTGTCCCATCTCTGCACAGGGAGGACGACTCACTGGCCCATGCCGCAAAGGACAAAGCCGATATGCTTCGCTCTCTCTTTGCGTCCAACTCTACTCTTGATGACGGGGGGAACACACTGCCGACCATCTCGCGGACTGAGTGCGCCATTCAGGATGTCCTGTTTACCCAACGCTCAGTGTGCAGAACACTCCTGTCCCTGGACGTCCACAAGTCGTGTGGGCCGGATGGCGTCCCTCCTATTGTGCTGAAGACGTGTGCTCCGGAGTTGGTATCGGTATTAACGCGTCTTTTCCAGTACTCCTACTTACTAGGCGTACTCCCAAAACCATGGAAGACGGCTTTCGTCCACCCGATCCCTAAAAAAGACGACCGCTCAGACCCGTTCAACTTACAGGCCCATCGCCATCACCTCCTTGTTCTCCAAAACAATGGAATCCATTGTAAACTGTCAGCTCATGAGGTACCTTGAGGATCACCAGCTGATTAGTGATCGCCAATACGGTTTTCGTCGAGGTCGATCAGCTGGTGATCTTCTGGTCTACCTGACTCATAGATGGGCGGCGGCAGTAGAGTCCAAGGGGGAGGCATTGGCCGTTAGTTTGAACATTGCGAAGGCCTTCGATCGGGTTTGGTACAAAGCGCTTCTTTCGAAGCTCCCTTGCTATGGGCTTCCCGAGAAATTGTGCAATTGGATTACCAGCTTTCTTGTAGATCGGAGCATCAAGGTCGTGGTAGACGGTGGAAGCTGCGATTAGAAGCCTATTAATGCTGGTTTTTCACAAGGCTGTTTCTATCACCAACATTGTTTCTTCTGCATATCAAGGATAGGCTGCAAACCGGCAACATTCATTGCTATGCAGATGATAGCACTGGTGATGCTCTGTAAACCGGCCGTGCCAACATTTCTCGGGAAAACGTCTCCGAGTACCGGGACAAACTTGTGTCTGACGTCGAGTCTTTGCTGAAAAGTCTCAGATTGGGGGCGACTAAATCTAGTCCAGTTTAACTCTCAGAAGACACAACTTTGCGCGTTAACCGCCAAAAAGAACCCCTTTGTCGTATCTCCTCAGTTTCAAGGCACTCCTCTTGTTGCCTGCCAGTATCGGAAATCTCGGCGTCGACACATCGAGTGACGTGCAATTTCGTGGTTACTTGGAAGACAAGGCCAAATTGGCCTAAAAAGCTTGGCGTGCTCAGCAGAGCGGGACAGTATTTCATGCCGGCACACCGCCTGCAACTTTACAAGGCGCACATGGAACACTATTCGCATCTCTGGGCTGGGGGCTCCCCAGTGCCAGCTCCTTCCACTTGATCGCATCCAGCGCAGAGCGACTCTAATCGTCGACGAGAGAGTGGTTTCCGATCAACTAGATTCACTGGCGCTGCGAAGAGATTTGCATCTCTTTGCGTATTTTATCGCATTTATCACGGGCGGTGCTCTGAGGAATTGTTCGGATTAATCCCAGCTGCCAAATTTTATGAATGCACTACGCGGCAAACCTAAAAAATACCATCCAGGTATCGGGAGGTTTGCCGTCTAGATGCTTGGCGGTCCACCACTGTACGTTTCACAAGGAGTTTTCCTCCGCGTACGATCTCTCTGTGGAATAGTTTACCATCGGCGATTTTTCCGGACCGATGCGACCTGAGGGAACAAAAAGTGCTTACTGCTTTCTAAAGGGCCGGCAACGCACCTGCAATCCTTGTATTGTTTATTGAATTCTAAAACTTCGAACTAACTGTGCTCTCTAATCAAACAATATAATTGATGGGATGACAGTGTATTGTTTTTCAAACATGGTTTTATTTCTTCTCTACAGTTAACACTTCTCGCTTGTTTTGTGAGAATGTCAACCAAAAAGAAAATTTTGTGAAAAAATTCCAAACTAAATTTACAAAACAATATAATAACTTAATATTAACCTTTAAGTATGGACGTGGAGTCTCAGAGGCAACTTCCTTTCTACGAATCCCAAAAACCGATTTCTTCGCTTCCCCCGATACTGAGCTGCTCAGTACCTTTCGTGTTAGAGACAAAACGAGTATGGGTGGAGGTGGTTGTGTCGCTAGCTTTAAAACACGTGAGTATTGAGCTCTTAAAACTTGCTCAGGATCTCTGGGACCCCACATCCATGTTTTCTGTACATGATATGTGGAATTTGCGTTTTATTTTTTCAGGTTTTTTTGTAATAATGGACAAGTATAATCAGCCAGGTACATCAGGTATGAAAAGACCGAGCACTTTATCTGAAAATCTGCTTGGAAAGAAAGTGTTACGCTTAGAAAACTCCTTAGTTGAAGATGAAATCACTGATTTTCTAATGGTTTCTGATGAATCAGACACTGAAGATGACATTGCTGATTGTTTGATATCCGAAGAAAAACTTTTGCGAGACCATGAAAGTGACGAAGAAAATTTGGTACCATTGGCAGCTGAGGAAGAAACTAATAGTGAAAATAAAGGTCAAAGTGTTTCGGATGACGATATTCCACTTTCAAACCTTCGCAGACAAAAATATTATTACAGTAAAAATCGCTTCAAATGGGCAATGAATCCGCCGTCGGGTAGAACAAGTCGCACACCACAATACAATATAATATCTATTAGAAATACTACATCATTGTTATCAACGGATGACCAAAAGGATGTGTAGAATATTATAACCTGGACTAATAAGAAAATTGCTGAAATGCAAAGAAAATACAAACGTCAGGATAGACCAGAATTGAAAGATTTAGATGTCATAGACCTGAATGCTTTACTTGGGCTTTTGTACTACTCAGCCGTATTGAAATCAAATCACGAAAGTTCTCAGTACATATTTGCCATGGATGGCCTGGCTGTAAAATATTTAAATGTTGTATGTCTGATAATTGACGTTTTGACAATCCTTCAGATCGTTCCGAAAGCGAAAAGACTGATAGAATGGCACCGATCTCATTTATTTTTGAACGGTTTGTCGAAAATTCTCAGATTTTATCAACCTGGTGAATCAGTTACAGTAGATGAGATGCTGGTAAAATTCCGTGGTAGAAGTCACTTTATCTCGTACATGCCAATGAAACCATTCAAATATGGGCTAGTGATAAGAGCAAGAACTTTTTATTTTTACAATGGATACATATACAGCTTTCCGCTAGCATCGGACTTAACTATGAAGAAAGGAAGTTTCTTATACCCACTCAGTGCGTTCTGCAACTGACAAAGCCACTTCAAGGAAGTAATCGCAATATTACCGCCGATAATTGATTCTCGTCATTACAACTTTCTAAAAGAAAACTTACTTATGTAGAAACCATGAAAAAGAATAAGAGAGAGATCCCTCCCGAATTTGAACCCAACAAGAACCGTCAACTTCTATCTACTTTGTTCGGTTTTACGAAAGATAAAACTTTATGCTCTTTTGCACCAAAGCAGAACAAATCCGTCGCTTTAATTTCTTCTATGCATCATTATGCCACAGCCAATGCTAGTAGCCATAAACCTGAAATTATAGAATATTATAATACGAGAAAAGGGGGTGTCGACGAGACTGACAAAAATTGCTCCATTTACTCGTGTAGCCGACACACAAGAAGATGGCCCCTGGTAGTGTTGTACAGAGTACTAGATTTATCTAGTACTCTGTAAAACACTAACTCATTTGTGCTCTATAACCAGCATCAGACAGAAAATATAGATCGAGATTTTCTGAAAAAATTGGTGCGTTTTCCTGTAGTTCCTCAAATAAAGAGACGCGTAATGAATACAAAACTACCCAAGGAATTGAGAATGACTGACCCGCGTTTTGGGTTCTGATATGCCTCCTGATGAACATGAGGCTGCAGAATTAGGTCCTCCATCTCGTAAAACATATAGACTTCGCCCTCAAAAACTGCATAGAAAGACAACACATACTTGTGTTGACTGCAATCGTCCTGTTGTTTGCAATGTTCAAAGCAATTGTGTAAGGATTGCCAATAAGTTGCTAATGTTTAGGTGTTGTCAAATTTGTTATTTTACTATGTAAGAGGTTATTTTTTTGTTTATTTGATTTCTTGTTCTTAATAATTTTGAAATAAGAAAATAAGATTGAAATGTGCCTTATAGTTCCTAAATTCGTTAAAATAAGTAAAATTTAATAAATAGTTATGTGATTTGTATTTGTTTTGTTTGATTTAGGCCTACTTATGAGAACTTGGACACAAATTGTATCCTACGTAAAACGTATAAACTAGAACTTTCAAGTACAGGGGGTTTAGGGACTTCACATCGATAGAAGTGTAAAGAAAAAATTACGTCCATGTTTAGAGGTTAAGTATCACATCAGTATGCTTTTGAGTGTATGAGTAGTGTCAGGCCTTTTGTATACATATGCTTCTAGATTCTTAACAAAAAAACTAATTTAATTCAAAATATTATTTTATTTGATGAAAAAAGTATGAAAGTTTAATTATAGAATTGCAAAATGTACATCCAAACCAAAGTGTTTTGGGGCAATGTGGATAAGCTAGTGAGTAGGAGATATAAAAAATTCTTTTAATATCAGAAATGCAATATTTCGAACACTTAATTGGTATTTCTCTATGCATCTGTATGCATTTAAACTATTAGGGACATGTCACACAAAAAAGGTGTTTCTTCCATTTTGTACTATTTGACCTTTTCCAGGGAATGACAAACATTTATGTCAATATGGGATGAGTACATAATATATAATCACTATAATTTGTAGTTGTGTCATTAATTAAAATGCTTTTAAAAAATAATTGCACTGAATTAATAATAAATAAATTATCTTTAGATTTTATTGTAATAGGTACATCGAGAAAAATACATAACTATGTCTATATTTCTCCCTGTAAAGGTCCATTAAAAAATATCGTCCTAAAAAGTAGTGAACAAAACTTACTTGCTACAGCATTTTGTCCTTCCATTGACAACCTGCAAAAAAATATAAAAACACAGGACCTTCGAAAGCCAAATCATTAGAGACTTATTCAATCTAAGTGTTATCTTTTTTTTTCAATTTTCCATAATATTAACGGCCCTTATGTAATTATAATTGCATTGCAACATATGCCAGCAATGCAAATAAATAAAACTTTTTGAATCCAAAGTACTTTAAACATGTCTAGAATAGGTTAACTTGGAGATGTAAGTTGAATAAATGTGGATAATACTAGCCGTATTATCATTAAGATGAAAGTTAAATAAAAAAATCTCAAATTTTATTCAAAGCAACCTTTAATAGTAGAAAGTAGAAAGTCATTCAGCTCTCACTTATTAAACAAGCTATGCTTAGCTGATTATGATAACTAGTAAATATCAAATTTTTTCTAACTTACTCTCAATGATTTCACGAAGCTAATATCAACTTTACTTTGTATGCATAGGCATAGGCAAATAATAATGAACATATATCAATCAACTTACCGATACATAATTCCACAGGGCTCCACAACAAGGGAAAACCGGAATTGCACCAATTAACTTTAAGAATCACTTCGTCAAGGTTCTTATACTAGAATCACAATTCTTCATCATGAAAGTACACTATAATCCAACACTGACACTGAGAAGACATCTTTACCGATGTACATTTATTTTCACATGAAAAATTTTGTCTAAACACGTTTCACTTTGTTGATTTTGACGTTGCTGGTTCCGAATATGAACCGATTACGCCATTGCTCGTACTGCTACGTACAAACTATACTATTTGATGTTGACGGATGTTCTGTGGGCTGGATTGGTTTCTCTGTCTTGTTCCGGTTCTGTTCCATTTGTTCAGTTGTCACCTGCGTTGGTGTAGTTCCATTCTGGATGTTAACCTCGTATATGTTTGAGGAATTTGAGTCATCGTTGTAAGATAATATGCTCACTTCATCGGTCTGGGAATATAGAAAATAGAACTTGTTATGTTTAGTATTCAAAAATATTTTATAATTAAATTGCATTTTTTTACTTATCAAAATAAATAACTAAATAAAAAAATATTAATTTTATTAAATAAAAAATACTTAAACTGCCATTGGTAACGGTTGTACGGAGTAAATGCAATACTCTGTTCAAAGTGACTGGTACTGCAGTCAAAGGCTTAAATGACTGACATAATAGTGAAAACTTAGCCTCACACTTTTGATTATAAGACCATATTCACACTAGTTTTGTAGTCAAAACTATTATAAATATACTTGTGAAGGATGAAATAGGGATTACTGAGAACTTCACTACCTGAACATTTATTTTACTATATATATATATATATATATATATATATATATATATATATATATATATGAAACTGTTACTTTTTTTCATTTATTTTACCACAACAATTTAGAAAAAATATTTTCAGTATTTTTATTATTTGCTCATTATATGCAATGAATTTAGTGGCAGTGCACAATGAGATGCGTGGTATTGGTTGGTAGATTATATTATATTGCTGGTGAAAAAACCTCACCTACAAATAGGATAGATAAATAAACATGGTGTAATTTCAGTTTGAGAGGCATTTCATCCATCCCTAAGTTCCCGTGTAGTAACCGCGATAAATGGTTTCCGATCGGTGGTGATATACATTCTCGTTTATGCTGGTCTTAAAATACCAAAACCAGTGACAGTAAAAAACGTTAAAGGTATTCACGTCGGGTACTGTTATCACCAAACTGCTTGCACAGTGTGATGATTAAGGCAAATCCATTATATAATGGGAGAGACCTAAACCATCAAATGATTGTATGGCAGTGACAGACAGTGTTTTTTTGGTTTCTCTGTCTGTGAAACAGTAGATGGACAGTAGCATATTATGATAACAACTCACAATAAAAAAAACTGCGGTAACCAACATGTGTACCAAACATGGCAACTATGACATATATTATGGCTGTAACGCGAATAAATCGGCTTAAACGTGAAGTATCACACTCTCACAGAATACCAGCGTAAAATAATTGATACTGCACGGAGACGGTTCGCTCGCGCTTCTGCAGCAGCGACGCGCACAGGTACTGTGCAGCTGGTAGCTGTGAGTGTGTGCTGTGTGCTGTGTACACTCACGCTGCTGTCGGAGAGGCGGCGCGTGCGCTTATGCGGCTGTGCGGGCGCGGGCTCCGGCGGACGGCGCTTGGCCCCCGACACGGTGCGCTCGCGCTTCTGCAGCAACGACGCGCACAGGTACTGGTGCAACTGCTTGCGACGCACGTGCCGCGCCTGTAATGTCGCTATGCATTAAAACTTTGCCAATACCTGACTGATTATCTAGAAGTCCCCGGTTCGATTCCCGGGTTCGGTCGTTTTGACGTGATGTCACGCTGCATATATTATAGTTATAGCATGAATGTGTCGGTTCGACCGGGGTAGGACCAAGCTCTCCCAGAATACCAGCTTATAATGTTGCAGTATTTCGTATGATGAGTGTAGAGAACCAGAAACCATTTTTACTAGAAGCGAGACATTTCATCTTTGTCCTCAGAGGTGACAATGCATCTGCATTTTGATTCTTAATCGAGGATAAAAGTAAATGTATATGGGCCATAGTATAGAATATAAAATACAAGAGAAAGCTTAGTGGGCTGGGGAGGCGTGTCACAACTCACAATTGGGACAGTAGAGCCTAATTGGCTGTCAGTCGCAGACAGTGTCGAAGCTAGGGCTCCAAACTAGGGCAAGCCGAAGATATAGTTTTGTTGTTTTTAGCAGTTTAATAAAAATACACCAATCTTGAGCTGTCTCCACTCTTTTGTTTCATATTCAGTGCTGTCAAGGACGTGTTTAACAAAGCACACAGAAAGCATACTACCGCTAGATAGATTGTATGACATATGCAATTGCACACCTTCGGTGGTTTTGAAAAGAGCCGTTTGGGTTTGCTTGAGATATTTACAAATACAATAAATGAACAAAAGAAAAGCATGAACAAAGTACAAACAAACTATGTACAAAGTTAAAAAAGGGACGCCTGGCAGATGTGAAACCTCGAAATTATTTTGTTTAAGTTATATGCATAAAAGAACAGATTACGACAGGAATTAGATAGTTATAATGAGAAGATAAAGCTTTGCTAATTTTTGCCATAAAATAATGACTATTTATTGTATAATTATTCATTTCCAATTCATAATAAATCATACAAAATGATATTTTTAAATTCATATGGTAATATAAATTAGCCGATAGCGTATTTGTGCTATCTAGCGTAATCTTTAGGTACCATCGTGAGAATCAACCAATTTTCGTTCGTTAAAATGACTTTACCTATAGAATTAAATACCTATAGAAGTAACTAAAGGGAGTATTCTTTAAAAACCTCAATACATTCTTCAGTATTCTTTTGATTTATTACATTAAAATTTAGGCTTCACGTTAAAAAATATTGTAACACTTATTTCCTGTAAAATTAAACCTAGGTGTCTCATATTTTATGCTGCCGTTCAAATTGATATTTTTAATTCATATGGTAATATAAATATTGAGTTATTAAACCTTTAAATACGCCTAACTTAATTAAACTTTAATACTAAAGAGTCCTGTACCTATATTTAAAGTATGAAGAAATGTTTACTGAATATTAAATATAATTTTTAAAGATTTTACCTTTTCCTCGCCGATTAGCACTTCAACACACTTATATTCATGACAATGAACACTATTATCCTCCCATTTTCACTGAAAATCTTTAAAAAGTATAAATATTTTAACAAACACAACAAAAACTAACATTCAACAAGCAAACAAACAAACAAACAAAAAAAAAACAAACAAACAAACAAACATTGAAATGTGAAGTGAACTTGCATACGAATGGCCCGCACCCCATTCGCTAGTCGCTAACGCACTCCTAAACAACTTCATGGCAAAGCCAGGCTTGTGGCTCAATAGTAATTGCTATAAACATTTCGTAGTTATATTTCATTATAGAACATTTTGCCACAGGTTAGAAAGGGAGCGATCGCCTTCTCGAAAGCCCGGTAAAAACTCAACTCTCCTTATATGTATGACAGCAGTATTCGTAAGGCTACGAGGTCGAACAGAGTGCGCGGGAAATTTGAAATAGTTTGAAACAGTTTACGAGTTATTTTATTACTTGATGTAATTGATTGATTCATCTTAATGAGGCAAGCCGGGCTTCTGGGCTTGTATAGAGGCTTTGCCACTGGTCGCCGACACAAATTGTCGCGAGCTAACGTGTCGTTGCTTAAGTGATATATGCGAAAATATGCCTTTTAGTGCAATATTAGTGTAAAAACGAAAACAAAAAGACAAATATTGCGAATGGAGGTTTTTTCGAACCAAAAGCACGTGTAATTTTTTTCTTGATCGCTCAGAAACTCGAATGAACTTGGATAAAATATCAAATTGCCTTTTTATCAAGTAATATTCAACCTTATTTCATTAATTTAAGGTTCATCTTTTAATACATTTTGAATAAAAATTGCTGCGATGGTGTTGTGACTACGCTGATATTAAAGTTATGTGTATGTTGTCTCAGTCATGTTTATTCACTAAATATACGAAATTATAGGGTGATACCCTATGATGAACATTTCTGTTAGGGTTGCTAAGCCAAAAAAGTAAGTAATTTAGTATTGCTCATGGCTTTTGTAAGGAAGCAGAAATATAAGTAATGTAATATCACGATCCATTCGTTCATGAGCAGATATCTTCTGCAGTCTTCATATGCTGCAAGCTATATAGCATTGCAGCACTGGAATAACACTTCTTGTTCCTTCAAGCTACCCTCTGCACTACAGTGTTCGGCAAGGCTCTGAGCCTTACTGCTCGCCTCTGCTTCAGGGCACTCTCGCAGATTACTTGCCTTCTTCTCGACTCGCCGCAGACTATAAGGCAATCTCTGGCATTCGCACAATCGTTGACAACTAGTGCAGTCTAGTCCATCGACCCCCGGTGTGAGTAGGGGGGTGTTGTAGCGGCGCTGTCGTCGCGCCACAAGCGACACACACCGAAGCCTAAATTACGCTATTAAAGTTCCGAAGTAATACGGTATATATAGGTTGTCCCAGGAAACATGTACCAGCGAAGGTCTGTGGTCTGGGGACACCAATAACTATCGATTGGACCCCATGTATGTTACTCGATTTTTTTGTAGTTTTCGAGATATGAATTTTTTTGTTATATTTGTTTTTTTTTTTTTAAATTTTAGACGGTTTTAGATGTAACTTTTTCTGTGAAGTAATTCTTAGAGATTTTTTTTGGTAGTATTATAGCTAGCATATGTGTTCGTCTGTAAAAGCACTAAAAACCAAAATTCTAATTACTAGTAGCTCAGATTTAGCTCACAAAATTAAAATTTCTGCTTGAGAGATATTTCTATTTGATTTCAACTTGAGAAAAAATTACTTAACTTTGACTGAATAAATTCCTAATAATTATTTCAAAAACTTTATGGGTTTTTTATTATACACAGTATTACAAAATATTGCGAAAACGGAGTTTAAAGTTGATACAGTCGAAAATAGTGAAATTTATTTTATGCATTTATTCACATTTATTTATCACATTTTTCCGATTAATATGGTGAATAATTATGAATGTTAGATAAAAATATTTTCTGCAAACGGGCTAATCCCAGCCAGCCTCTTGGGTCATCTGAAGCGACTGGGACTCCGTGACGAACTGCTCCGGGCTCAAATGTAGAAGGCGGTGCTCCTCGATACTGCCCGCATTGTCCGCAGGTTTCTTTCCCTTTCCCCCTAACCCTCGGCCGTTTGGTCTCCCCTGCCGAGGGCTTCCATCTGGTTGGGCTTTTATTTATTTATGTATTTTTTATGTATTTATTATATTATATTTTTATTTATGTGTATTTATCATTTTCGTTCGCAATTATATATTTAGCAACATATAGCAAACCACACTCTTCTTTTATCACACAGTTTCTAACCCTGTCACTCTGATTCTGCCCTTACATACTCCTTAGTGACTGCATTTCTACTGCATTTATTATACTCTCGTGCTTCTTCTGCCATGCATTGTGAATTGCCATACGTGCCTTTTTTCACACATACCGATTTTCCACAATAGAGTGTAGAGCCCCATTTACTTTATTTCCTACGTTCACTCGTCGTTCTATATCCTTATCATATCTCCTATCCCTGCTGAATACACATCCCAGATATGCAAACTCATCTACTAGCTCGAGCAACTCCACTTCTATTCTTATTTCACATTTCCTTCTACTTACTTGCGTTCACTTTCATTCCCCTTTCTTTTATTGACCTGTTCATTAATGTAACCATCATTTGCAACTCGGCCGCCAACGACGCAAATATGACTTGATCATCGGCTTACAAAAGGCATTTGACGGTTAACTCACTCATTCTTAACCCTCATTCTTCAACTTTCAAATTTTCCAAACAACTGTCCATAAATAGGTGGAATAGGCACGGGGACGACACAGCCCTGCCTGACACCTTTATGGATGCCAAACCAGTTCGAGTAGGCCCCGTTGATCCTAACACAAGCACTCGAGTCCCTATCTATACAAAGACTGCTTGTATCAACCCAGCGCTCAACCCAAATGAGTTCAGCGTTTGCCATAACACATCCCTGTACACTCTTTCATAAGCCTTTTCCAAGTCCATGAACGCACAAAAAACTTTTTGGTATTTCGCCAAAAACTTCTCCGCGAATGGAGAAGACTTGATCTGTACACCCCACTCCCTTTCTAATCCCGCTTGCACATCCCAAATTTTTACATCAGTTTCTTTCGTAACTCTTTCAATTAGTACCTTAGCATACAGTTTTCCGACAATGCTAAGAAGGCTGATACCACGGTAGTTTTTACAGTCCTGCTGCGACCCTTTTCCCTTATATATTGGAACTATCACGACTTTACACCAGTCTCCCGGTACTCGCTTCAGTTCTCAACATAAATTAAACAGGGTGTACAGCAGGTCTGCCACCAATTCCTCTCCAGCCCTTAGCATTTTGAGTGAAACTCTATCATATCCAGCTGCCTTATCTACTTTCATGCTTTTCATTGCTTTCATTATTTCATCTGTACTTATCTCTTTCCTATTCTTTCGGAATTTGAATTTCATTTAGTGCACACGTCTTCTCACTCATAAATACGCTTTCAAAATATTCCTTCCATCTCTTTAGACTCAACATTTCATCATTCAGAATACAGCCATTATCGTCTCGTATAGCATTCAATCTACTCTGCTGTTTTGAATGTCCCCTGATAGTACTTAAGAGTTTCCAGAACATTTTAATATTTGCCCGGAAGTTATCTGATATTATGCTTTCTTGCTTTTTCCTTTCAACTAATTCTTTTACTCTCTTATTTAGACGTTTAAACCCCGCGTTTTTTCTTTCAATCTCATCATTCATACCGCCAGAATTACCAGCTTTGGTTGCTAGTAAATCTAGCCATGGTATCTTCTTTGCTTCAATTACCATACACGTATCTCATCGTCCCAACACAACGTATTATCTTTCCTTTCATTCGTTCTTTTACTAACACATACTTCGGCAACTGCATCCACTAATCCTTTCTTAACATTATACCACACATTCTCCATGTCTAACTCATTCATACACAGCTCATTAAGACCACTTATGTTTTCTCTCAGTCTACATTTATACTTGTATTCCACATCTTCATCTTGTCACCTCTCTGTTCTTATACGCTGTAACGCAACATGTATTTATACAAGTTTCTACAAAAAATCCATTTACGTTAACAGTGTTAAAATTCACTAGTACGTCGCTCGTCTAAAACGTGCTAGACTTGGCTGCGTACGCAACCTGAATGTAGGTAGGCATTTATATTAGAGATGGGCCGAATATGGATTTCATCGAATACGAATATTCCGCCGAACCCAGCCTCTCGCTCCCTTGCTACACCTGACATGTTATTGCATCACATGCTTGTTTTGACTATTTTTGTGAGAAAAAAAGTATTTCTTTGTGTTATTCTTAGTGAAAATTGATAATTGTATGATAAAAATTTGTGGCAGGAGATCTACTATTTGGACTTACTTTAGAGAAGTTGAAGACCAAAGTATATTTATAAGTATAAACATATACAAGAATGTTTAACCCATAAATAAAATATGACATGAAGACATGGCATTACCCAATGCGTACATTTCAATATAATGGACACACTGAGTACCACTTTAACTTTCTAATGTTCGGTGATTTAGCCGAATATTCGGCCGAATACGAATATTCGGTAAACTGCCGAATACCGAATATAAAAGGAATATTCGGACCATCTAATTTATATCACGCAGGTAGAAAGAGTGACAGAGGCCTGGTAGAACTTAGTTTCATTTAAATGTGTATTGTTCGCGTAAACATAAGAAATCGTTATCACCTCAATGCTCATTCCTTCACGAAGCATGCTAGTGTTCTCTGCCTGGTAGTGCACTGCTTTGGTGAACGATGATATGTCATATGTCAGGTCCACATTCACATTGGTCTTCTCGAAAACGAGCCCGATGAACCACATGGAGCAGTAGTTCGCGATCACCTCGCCCTGCAACATACGAAGGTTGGACTACAGCGACATCTTACGGAAAATACTCAAGACTGATAGATGTGTATACCATCATTACCATTTCAGTTGCTATCAGTGTTACATAAAAGTTCATGCTTCACAGCATTTTAATCGAGTGGTGAATAGTTTTGAAGAGAACACCATATAATAAAAGCCATCATAGCACGTTACACAGTACAGTTTAAAGACCTTACAGTTGAGAAACGAATGTACGTGTGCAGAGTAACGACGAGGGCCATGCGAGGCGGCGCGACATTGTGCCAGCACACTCCACCGAGTCACCGAGCTGCACTACAAAACATGAGATTGGCGCAAGCGTTTACTTATTTAATTTAAATGGCGTTTTCGAAAAATATAATATCTTTAATAGTGAATTACTGTTATAGTTATACGAGTTACTAAGTCAAATTGAATTTAAATGACGGCCATGCTTATGTTTCCTTCTTTTTATTTTTGATGAAATTATTTATCCGAATGCGAATACACTATATAATTAAATTTAAGAGCCCTCTTTACATTTCGGCACTACGCAAATTTAGGTATTTACGCCCCGAGCGGGCGATGACCTACGCGAGCGACACTTTATTTCATATATTTTCAATCGCTCGCATTACGGTACTGTGAGTATAGCGACTAAACGATCTTGATCTTCCATTATACAAGTTTTCTTAGGATGGAGTTCAGTGGATGGAAATTTTTTGGTGTGTCATTTTTGTGTTATCTAATTAATTTATTATAATATATTTGATATATTTTTCATTATTTATGAACCTTAGTTTTGAAATAAGTACACATAAATATTTTAATTGTTTCACAGTAATCGATTGTTAACCGATGTTGGTTAATAATCGATTATATCTACTAACTACTACTACTACTAACATAGTGGTATAAATAAATTAATAATACGGTTGCAATCTGTTTTAATAAATAAAATAACCAACTGTAACTTACATTTTTTAATCGGTACTTAAAGTGAATTACCATTTTTTTATTACAAAATATTTACTGCAACGGCATTCACCGATCTTATCTCTAGTCAAATAATTTCAGGCAGTACACACTTTTTATAAAACGCTTGTAACTTGGTTAACATATTCAAAATCCAAAACACGTCGTCTTTGTAGATTTTTAGTACTTTTACTGCATAATCTGGGCCAGTTCATATGGCAAGCATACAGACATTTTAATTCTCCATTATTTTTTCTCCAGAGATAGGATATTTCTTTTTTTACGGACACATTGATACTTGTATTTATTTTTCGCCGTTCGGACTGGTAAGAAATCTCAGCTACAATTAAAATAACTACAATGAGTTAACTATCATTCATTCAAGGCGACGGCGGAATAGATAGAGCTGTGCAGCATAGGATTAACGCAGGGTGGATGAAATGGCGACAGGTCACAGCCACAACGTGCGATCCCCGAATGCCAATAAGGCTGAAGGGGAAAATTTACAAATCGATCATCCGACCTGTCGTCATGTATGGAAGTGAATGCTGGGCCGTCAAGAAGAAGGATGAAAATAGACTGCATGCGAATGAAATGAGAATGTTACGATGGATGTGTGGTGTGACAAGGATGGATAAGATAAGGAATGAGTATATAAGAGGAAGCCTGAAAGTAGCGCCAGTGGTAGAAAAGGTGAGAGGAAGCAGATTGGCATGGTTTGGGCATGTGATGCGGAGGGATGAAAGTCATGTCACAAAACGAGTGTTGAATATGAATGTGGAGGGACACACGGGCAGAGGAAGGCCGAATAAAAGATGGATCGATTGTGTGAAGAGTGATATGAGAATGTAAGGAGTAAGTATGGAAATGACGGCTGATAGAGAGGAATGGAACAAGAAGATTTACTGCGCCGACCCCAGATAATGGGAAATGGTTTAGAGAATGATGATGAATGAGTTAACTATCTGGTATAATAATAATGTGCGAACTTTATATTAATTAAAATATACTGTACTAAAGTAAATATTTCCAACGATTAAAAATTGCGGCCGTAATTGACGATGCTCTGGCACAAAAATTCAGCGCCACGCTCCATCTAGGGTTCCCAGATCTTAAAGCCGAAAATCCGGACAGACCAACGAACTTAGCCGGGAACTCACCCTTAATTTTTTTTAGTCTTAGTATAACATGACAATTATTTTTAAAGTAAAACAATGCTTTTTATTATTTACAATAAAATATTCTCAAATTCTAATGAAATAACAATAACATTGAATAAAACAATCTTACATCAATTAATCTTTCAATATTCGTTAAAATATTAATTTAAATAATTGCAATATTATGTATGTTAATACGTGAAAAAGACAATTTCTTTTTGTATTGAGAATGGGCTGACTACAAATTGTGGCGTAACTTAATGAAATGCACGTCGATTTATTACTTATATCTCTAGATTACACTAGTGATATTAGTTTTACCGCATCTAACGGGAATACTGAGAAATTAACAATCAAACGGCAATCTCATTATAACCTAAAACTTATATGTGCGACTGTCTAGTAGTTTTTATCGATATTCTATGTTATAATAGTGCAGTGTTAATAATAAAAAGTATAAAAAAGTTATAGGTTCTTCAAAATATTAAATACTGGGTAGATTTTCCGGAACTACTCAATTTTTTTTTTAAAACTAAAATAATATTTTTAGTAGTTTCGAAGAAAACAGTTCACGAATAGATTGCGGTGATTTATACGTAGCTATTATTTATTTATCATGATACTGGTTAGATTTTCATAAAATCTTTAGCTAGTTTACTATAGTAAATTGGTATCTTTTTTTATGAGTTAAGTTACATTAAAATATATAGTTGGTCCAAAAAGGATTGTCTCCTTTAAAAAGCCTAACTAAAGCCACACGGGCCGGACACCGTCTAATTTGGCCGGACACGCAACTAAAAATCCTGTCTGTGCCCGGCTTTATGCGGGCATCTGGCAACGCTAGCCACGACCTTCGACGCCCACTAGGATATCGAAACGAGACAGAGCGCGCGAAATAAATTAATACAGGTCCAACATCGACGAGCGCTCTATTGAACGCAGAGGGCCGGCGCAGTGAAATATACAATATGTAACGTAATTAACGCACACCCTCAGACACCCCAATTAGTATATTATGTTTTTTTTTCTAATACTTTATTTCCGTCAAACAGCGACTAAGCTTGCAATAGTCATCTTTAATGCACCTTCCCTTGATACACTGTCACCAATAAAGCCTGTGCTATGACAGAAAATGCATCCCTCGATACCGGTGACTTCGCTCAAAATCTCATCTCTGACACCCCACCAGTCTTTATGTAATAGTTTCCTTAATACAAAGCTAATCGGATCAATAGGCACCGCTTGTATTCTCCATGATTTCGGCTTGTCGTTGAAAAGTACATATTTGATTTCATGTCCAATGCCCATTTCAGTCTCCAAATCAAACAAATGCTCCTTCCAGGGGAATCTTTCTGTAAACTCTAATATCTGCCCTGAACTGTGCACCTCGAATCTCCTTTCTTATGTTACAATCATAATACGTACACTGAATTTTTAGTTCAACATTTTTATGCACTGATTATTTATCAAATTAGTTACACTGATTCCGGAAGAATGTTGTGGTCACAGTACAAATCCACGAACGCAAAGACTTTAATTGTCTGCTTTTTATTTTTATTGAATGACAGAATTAGTAATAATACAAATAAAACTGCACTCTTAAAAGTCTTATTGCTTTAAATTACGGTCCTTTTCAGTTTGTTTTGATTGTACAGATTTAGTGTGATTGTAATTTCATCATCATCATCATCATCATTACAGCCCTTCACAAGTCCACTGCTCCCCAAACATACCTAACAATCTCTCAATCTCACTCAAAATCTCAGGTGTCCCGGAAACGATGCTGCCACACTCAGTCTTCAGCTTTGACAGTTGGCTCTTTCTGGCAGACAGATCTCTGGCAAAGACTTTGGAGCCCTGGTTCCGCTCGATCGCTTCTTTAATACGAGCAGTATTAAAATTGCGTAAGTCTCGCCGCATGCATTTGGAGATCTGTCTGTTCAGTTGCCTGTATGCTGTCAAATCTGTTGACGATTGCAGCCTCATCTCCCGTCTAACAGCCATGAGATTAAGAGTTTGATCGGAGAGTTTTTGTGTTCTTCTGCGGCGGGTCTTGCAGAACTTAGCTCCGACCGCATGGACAGTTTCCACGAGCTTGTCATTCATATCGTCCACTGCATTGCAATCTTCTAGACACTGAAAGCGGTTACGTAACTCCAGCTGAAAAGTCTCGGGATTCTGGATTAGAGCACGAGGGGGACGGAGCGTTGACTTCATTAGACGAGACCTCTCCAACTTAACGTTTAAGTTCAGTGTGCCTCTAACCATTCGGTGATCGCTGCCGGTTTTCACCTTTGCGATCACTGAGATATCACTGAACAGTTGGCGTCTGGTCGTCATAATGAAGTCAATCTCATTTTTTGTCGAACCGTCGGGGCTCGACCAGGTCCACTTCCTGTGGGGCCGCTTCTGGAAGAAAGAGTTCATCATAATCCTCTTTCTCCATAAAGTCAGCCAGCTGGTGGCCCCGGCCTACGGTTCCGTTGCCCTACTCCAAATTTCCCTAACTTCAGCTCACCGCCTTCTCTTGTGCCTAGTTTTGCGTTGAAGTCTCCCATCAACACCGTGTAGTAGGTTTTGGAGGAATGCATGGCTCTAGAAATATCCTCATACATTTCCTCCACCTCCTCATCGGGATGTGCCGAGGTTGGTGCGTAGACCTGTATGACCTTCAGCGAATATCGTTTGGTGATTCTGAGTATCAGGTACGCGACTCTCGTCGACACACTCGCAATCTTTACAACATTGTTGACGAGAGACTTGTGGACGATAAATCCGACACCTCCTTGGGACAGATGGTCGCCCTCCCGGTGATAGAACAAGTTGCCGGACTCGAGGATTACCGTGTCCTCCCCCTCTCTTCGGACCTCAGATAATCCAATAATATGCCAGCGCAACTTGTCTACCTCTTCTTCCAGCTCCAGTATCTTCTCGTCAGTCCTCAGTGTGCGTGCGTTATACGTTGCCAGGTCGAGTCTTCGTAGATGGCAACCGAACCTCCACCGGAGATTCTTAGCACCCCCTGCCCCGCCGTTACCATGGTCGCCACCGTAGCCAGGAATAGCGGGGCCGCCGGGGACTGGGGGCCGTTTATTTGTGTCGTTGCTCATGGGGGGATATTTGCCATAGTTGCCACGCTTGGCGAGCGGGTTGGCAACCGCAGTTTTTTATTATGTTATTGTTATTATCAGGAAGATGCTGCTGCCCATCTTTTGCCTGTCTCCCTCTGTCGCCTCTTACGACACCCACGGGAAGATATGGGGCAGTGGATATTATCAACCGCTACTACACGGCAAGATTGTAATTTACGTAGTTTTAATTATTTTTAGGATAAAAAATTATCTATATTAAAAATGATAGGAATTGATTCAGTAAACGATTCTGAACAAACTACTTTCTCAAAGGGCGTTAATTATGTCACGTGTTGTATATTACTTTTATTTAGTTAATTAAAAAATAATAGTAACGATTTAAAAAGTAAAAATCATGGTGGAGAATAAGCAAATGTTGATGATTATTTTGGTATAAATTTTACGTCAAAATGATGTAGAACTTTGGGAGATATTGGGGCTTGTATCAAAACTTTTTCAGTTGATAATTGAATTATGTCAATTTTTTCCCTTACATGAAAGGCATACAATGAAATTGTATTTAATAATTATTAAAGTATAGGATATTTGTGACTTAAAAGTATTTTTTTCGAAGGTCGATATTCAATAGAATCTACAAATTAGAGCTCTCAAGTCATGTCTCTCAGACTTTTGGCCTAAAAATGCATATTGAGAATGATTATTATTAAATAAATAGATAAGTTATCTAAAATCGCCTTGAGCTTGTTGTAGTAGAGAAAACAAAATATTTTACCAAGTAATTGTTATTTCAAGCAACATACGGAAAATATGTAATTTCAATGAGGAAACCTTGTAATTTTGCGGTTTTTTTTTTTTTTGTAATACTCCTCTTAATAATCGAAAATTGAAATCATCTATAAAAAGAAAGTGTCATGAAAAAATTTGGCAGTTCAACACAGCCGCTTACTTTTTCCTACATAAATATAAATTTTTCGTGCGGTGTCGACATAATAAAATCAACCCAATTCGTCCCAGGTAGGTCGTAAGAGGCGATTTTGGGAAATGCCAGAAAAATCTTATTACCAAACTATCACACCATCACACACTTCGATCAATAATATACTAGATTCCCGATGAGCGCTTCAAAAACGGCCAGAAAAATAAGACCACAAACACTTCTGTGGTCTTATTTCAAATTCGTATAGTCTAATCATAGCCAACGTTAAAACGTCGAAATGCCGTAGTGCGCGCGTTCAAAAACTTTGCAAATAACCACCGTAACACCAAGAATTTGGAAGGAATATCTTTTTTTCGGTAAGTTTATATCATTAAGTGTTTTTAATAAAATAAAAACAGAATTAAATAGCAAAAATTATTCAATTAGCTAATATTATGATTGCTTGGCCAACGTTTGCTACAATGCAACAACTATTGTAACAAACATCGACTCTTGAACAAACATGCGTGAAGTAGTATTATTATTTAATATATATTTTTGTTTGTAAATTTCGTAGGGACCCATTTCGCTGTGCAGAATGAGTATCTATTGTCCCGAAAGAAAGAGGAGAAGAACTATATTATATACAACCCATCCAAAAATTTGAGAATATGTTCGATTCATTTTGATAGATTGGATATAACTGGAAACACGTAAAGGCGTAAATTACTAAAAACAGCGGTTCCCAAATTGCAGGTAATTATCATAAAGTTGTAAAATTGAAAGTGTAAGATTGTGAAGGTAGTGTAGTGCTTTTAGTAAAAAAGTAAGTTGTTTATGACTTTTTCAGATTCACGGACCAATAAAAGTGCAATCAGCTTTATGTTCAGAATAACGAAAGAGTTATTAAATCAGGTTATTAAAAAAATCTTTATCAGAAAAAAACTATACCTGTAGGTATTTTCATGAAATACTTTAAAATTGTTTTCAAAATATTTATATTCTGCAACTCTACGTCTTTCAATACTCACTGTGTTCCGAGCATTGAAATATAATACCAAGAACTACGTCTACTACCAAATTAGAGTAAGCACAAAAATGTCAACATAATGTTTTAACCTTATTACATAAGAGTTTAAGTTTCATTTTAGAATAAATATTTTTGTAACCTATATATTTTTTATACTTTTTTATTTTCAAGCGACATTCTAAACTTATTGATTATTGAACCTTTCTCTGATGAAAGGACTTAAATAAATATATTTTGCAATGGTGATTAAAGTTTATGTTAGAGTGTTATTAAGGTTTATAATAAACTGAAGTTGTTAATGTTATTAAACTTTTTTCTAAGATAGATAGATGTTTGTGTGTGTGCAAACGTGGCCACTTGAGCGACTTATTTTTGTTCCTGACCCTTAATCTAGTATATAATTGATCGAAGATCACACATTTGCAAACATTACACCACCATATTTTTAATAAAATTACCGAATGACCGAGCAGTAACGGTATAAGAATACCCACTCCACTTCGTCCCACGGGTAGGACTATACTGATAGAAAATAGGTAGCAGCGTCTTTCTAATAACAACTAAAAATAGTTACCAACCCGCCAGTCAAGTGTGGAACTATGGCAAATATCTCCCCATATTATCTATTAGGGAGGCCTTTGTTCACCAGTTGAGTTTTGAAAGGCTGTTAACAGTTACGGTCATCACTGGTGAGCACATTACTTTGGTAGTATCACTGTATTAAAAATATGCTGTACTATCAGAGATTATGACCTTGACATTTGTTATAACATGTAAAGTGAGAGTGTATTGATTTATAAATTATATTGTTATTCTGTTTTTTTATAATCATCACCTCCACACTAGGATTTTCTCCTGTATCGTGGCAGCAGTTTACAAATATACATTTCACAAGAACAAACATCCAGACCCGGAACAATTACTTGTAGGCCATACAGATACTTGTTCCGTGCGGGATTCGAACCCGCGGCCCTTAGCGCTGTAAATTATTGCTAACCCACTGCGCCTCGGAACCGTCAATGGATTATTAAAGTTTTTCGTTATGGATTATTAGATATACAGGGATACAAAAAATAAATAAGATAAATAGATACAGAAAAGACTATTTTTTTAATGGGAGTAAGTAATACAGCTAACAGTCCGTGTAGTGTTGTCTGTATCAAAGGGTGTTGCTACCGCAGCCAATGGAGATCTGCGACTAACTTTAAACAAAAATGGCCACAGGTATAATACTAGCTCTCTTGCCGTTCTAACCAGAATATACCAGTTGGTTTCAATGGTGACAGGAGCGGGTAAGTGGTAGTACCTACACAGACAGATTTCTAGGCAGATAAAGAGGCTTACGGCCACATTTTTAAGTTTTTTTAGTAAACACTTACCTCTTCATTCTTTTTGATTTCGGGCGCTGGATCATTGGGTACAGGTGTGCCTGCAATAAAAATATATAAATCAATTTAAAGATATTCCTTCGTTGTGTTGTTCACTATTTCGTATTGTTTACTTTTATTCCTGAAATCATTTACTTTAGTCATTTAATTAATTAACTAATAATAAGCATTAATATTAGATACGAGCCGTGGTAGCTCAGATGGTTAGCGCTCGCTGTAAATTTCACAGTACGCGAGCAAACCGGGTTCGATCCCCGCCGGCACCAATGAAATTGTTAATTGCTATTTTAAGTGTTGATTTACCACGTGCTCGGCGGTGAAGGAAAACTGCATGTCAGAGAAATAAATAAAAAAATATATTTCGAAGACATGTGAAGTTCGCCAACACGCATTGGGGCAGCGCGGCGGACAATTCCTTGCCCTAAAACCCTCTCAGAAATGAGCGGAGGCCTGTGCCCAGCAGTGGGACGTATATAGGCTGTAACTTTACTTTTTTTACTTTAAGCATTAATATTTAAGATGAAATTTTGTAATGTCTAAAATATCTCTATAATAATCTGTATAAAATTAATTAATTAATTAATTAGAAGGTGAAAAAAAAAATCACACAGTCCACCTGATGGTAAGTGACGGATGCTGTGACTTATATAATATATCCGCATCTATTCTTGATTAAGAATCAAAACGTGATGTATTGTCACCCCTGAGGAGTAAAATTGCATTGTTTGCCGTAATAAGTGTCTCCAATTCTCTACACTCACCATACGAAACGCAGCAGCATTAAGCTGCTATTTTAGGCTGGTGTTCTGTGGGAGCGAAGTCCTTCCCCGGTCGAGCCGACACATTTGTTCTACAACCGTTCACTCTGCAGCGTGGTTCTACCACATAAGAAGTTAGTGTATAAATTATGAGTATAACGAAAATAATTTAAATGATATTTAAACCATACTATATTATTTAATTAAATATCTATAAATATGTAAATATTTAACAGATTTTTATCTATTCGTTTGTGCAGCAATGGCTGAATCACTTTAGATGTGATTTTCGGTGTCGCATTGAGATTAGCTCGACAGACATTAAAAGTTTGTTTCACTTACATTTGTTGATAAATACAATTAAAATCCATTTTAAAGTGCGTCATTTCAGGACACGTGTATAATGTCGAAAGAAAAAGAACTGTTCAACTGCTATATCTATAGTACGTTTCTAGAGCAGGCGGAAAAAAGTACATTGACCTTTGACGATATCATCGGGGTAGGCAATCTTTTTTGTTAAGGTTCATTTTTTTATCCTTTTATCATTACATACATCATCAGAGTGAAAGATAAGGGTGCCGAGTGCGAAGTTCTTTACAGGCCCTATGTCTATTATTATATAATAAAGAAAGAAGATTATCCTATACCTAAATGAATTAAAAAGCAAATTAATATTAATTTAAGTTTATTATTTATAAATAATGAGTTATTACAATTTTCATTATTACGTTAATAGTATGTAAGTACTTTAATAAGTAGGTAGGTAAGTAGTTGTATAAAACATAACCACTTCTTGGCAGTCAGGTAAAAAGACGAACTTTTAATGCTAAGCATTCTTAAGCAGCCAACCTTGAAGCACGCATAAAACTTCTCATAATGGATTGTCAGAAATACTTGACAGACTATTCATCTGTATCATTGATTACAACCTAAAATATCGGCAGTCTTCTTTTTCATATCCGTTTTATACATGATACGTCACTAGACCACGTTTCTTTTACTTATTTATAGCTGTTTACACTCATTATTTTTTCGGTTTCCGAAATATGCGACACTTTCCGCTTCTTTCGTGGTGACGTAAAGTCTTTACGAGATTTTCATGTCGATGGACCCGATTTCATACTAATGATAATATACAAAACGTCACAAAAAATAACAAAAACTTTAATACAAAACTTAATAATACAACTAACGAAACAAACTTAATAAAAATTAAAACAACTACTATAACCGAAAATTTTAAATCACAAATTATCTACACGCAACGCAAAGTAGAATGAGGAATGAGTTCTGCTCCATCCGCGTCCTGTCAACATCAACGACCTGTGGCAAACAAATGCTAGCATACCATTCTGCATTAACCGTTCTTTGTCCCTCAAGAGGAATAGTCGTAACATGACCGGCTTTGGAGACAAACGTGGCCACCATTTTTTTTTTGCAACACTCCGTGAACGAATAATTTTTGTTGGCTTTAACTCATTTTCGAACACCCAAACTCGTGACTGGTTTTTTGTTTCGGGTTCGTACGCGTATATCCAGGATTCGTCACCTGATACGATGTTGTATAGAGCATTTGAGGATCCTGCGTGGAATCTTTTCGAGAGTTCTGACGCACCAAGTAACGCGAGCCGCTTTTTGCTCTTCACAGAGAGAATGCTGTATCCATCGGGAAAACAACTTTTTTACACCTAATTGTTCATGCAAGATTATTTGTATTTGACTCATGCCATTGTTAAAGTTGCCTGAATTTCGCGGTATGTCACATGTCGAATTTCCTCAATCAGCTTACGCACAGCATCAACGTTTTCTTGGGTGACTGCAGTTTTTGGACGACCTTGACGGGGATCATCACTGAGCTTGACACGTCCATGTTGAAATTCAGCAAACCAGCGATAAATTGTGGTTTTGGATGGGGCTTCATCACCAAATGCAGAAATCATCCGGTCAACACACTGTTTTTGTGTTAAACCACTTCGAAAGTCATAATAAATCATCGCTCTTGAATTTTCTCCAGTCAATTCCATTTTCTCAACGACTAAACAAGTTTGACAAAACCTTGTGACACGACCGAGAATTTTTTTTTAAATAAATAAATGATATTCGATTTTTAAAACAAAGGAGTTTTCAATTAAAAAGATTTTAATATGACAGGAACAGTCTTAGAGCATACATTACATGGAGGGAGCACTGTGTGAGCAGAAAGCGTGATTGGTGCTCTAAGGTTTAGGTAGAGTCTGTCTCTCTCGCACATGCTTCTGATTGGCTGGCGTGTTTTCCACCGTTGCATCGCGCGAGCGCATGCCCAATGAAACAGCCAATGACAGTGACTGTGCGAGAGAGACAGACTCTACCTAAACTCAGTCTCTCTCTCTCTACGCCGATCACGCTTTCTGCTCACACAGTGCTCCCTCCATGTAATGTATGCTCTAAGGGAACAGTGGAAATATTCCATTCCCGATACTTTTAGTGCAGCCTAGCTAATCTATAAAGAAATATGGAAGCAATAACTGTCGTTTTGTTTAGATGCTAACATAATACTAGAGGTCAATGTACTTTTTTCCGCCTGCCCTAGAAAAGTACTATACGTGCGCTGATTTAATAATTTTTATGTACGTCAAAATAGTTTTAAATATATGATGATTAAATTACTAAGCATAAATTACCAGGAGGCAGTGCGAGGGGCTGTCCATTGTTAGTATTGAGCGGCACCGAGTTGTAACATTCTGGGTTGACGTGTGCTATAGTTATGAACTGGTTCCTTTCAAGGGTCGCTGAAACAGATTGTTTTATTTTAACACTCGTTAATTAATAATTTATTATAACTATTGGTCGGAGTAGGTAGGGCTGTTTTTGCTACTTGCGACATGCGGACATAACATGGATATGCCAAATATTTCCCGGAATCCCGGGAATTCTCGGAATTAAAAAACATTGTTTAAGTAGTTTTTATAGGAGTAGGTAGAGGTATTTTTGTTATTTGCTACATGCGGACATAACATGGATATGCCAAGTATTTCCGTTTGTCGCCCTAAAATAATAGTAAACAGTTGAAATCTTTCCAATAAATAGTCGAAATAACGAAAAAACGGTGTGAAAAATTCACCAAAAATTGTTCCACAGTAAGTATAACTTACATAATTCAAATGCATTTTGTTGGCCGATCAAGACAATCAGATAGAACACTGTCAAACTCGTCTCCGAATATATTTAGGTAAGAGCAGTCAGGTATACCTATATTTTCAGGTATACCTCAATCTCTGAAAACTAAAGTGTACAACCAGTGCGTGTTGCCAGTGATGACTTACGGATCAGAGACGTGGTCCTTCACTGCTGGCCGTATGAGGACGCTCAAGGTCACTCAGCGAGCTATGGAGAGGGCTATGCTCGGGGTTTCTCTGCGTGATAAACTTAGAAATGAGGATATCCGCAGTAGAACCAGAGTTACCGACATAGCCCAACGGATTAGTAAGCTGAAGTGGCAATGAGCCGGCCATATAGCTCGAACAACTGATAACCGATGGGGAAGAAAGATAATGATTTCTTATATTTACGCGAACACTACACATTGAAATAATACTAGTTTTTACGGAATTTATCGCGTATATTTAACTTTTTAATTACCCGACGTTTCCCGTACGGGACAGTCCGTCCCGTGACCATGGGTGCTGTAAAGCTCTCGAAACGTCGGGTAATTAAAAAGTTAAATATACGCGATAAATTCCGTAAAAACTAGTATTATTTCAAAGATTCTCGAGTGGCAGCCTCGTACCGGTAGGCGTAGTGTAGGGCGACCCCCCACTAGATGGGATGGGTGCAGGTGGCTCAGGACCGTGCTTTGTGGCATTACTTGGGGGAGGCCTATGTTCAGCAGTGGACTTGTGAAGGGCTGTAATGATGATGATGATGAAGAGCAGTCAATAGCCAATGAAAATGGTTATTGTAGGAAAACGAGGTGCTTGTGCGAGAGGGGAGATCTTAGTCCACCTTGTATTCTAGTTGACTTAGTCAGCTTTTAACACAAGATTGTACTAGAAAAAAAACGGTTAGGTGCGTGTCGGATTACCTACAAGGTAGGGTAGCGGGAGAGCACAATTTACGTAAACAAGTTCCCTGCTACTCAGGTCACTAACGAAAAATTCCACTTTAAACTTTTGTATATAAAAAATGGCTGTTATAATTTATAACAGACGTGAGTTATTGCTCATTTTCTATTATAATTACATGAGGCACATTACCTTTATTCTCAAGGGTCATAAAGCATCTGTGTAGCTTTTTTGTAATTATCTGGTGTTACTTTGATACGGATAGCGGCAAGACTGTGTGTATGCAACCTTGACTTGCGCACTAGTCAATTTACAGGTATTTTCGAAGTACAAGGTATGTGGTGAACATGCTTTCACGTGATAGGTCTATGGGTTATTTTTGTCGTCTTCTAATGAATATTCACGTATCTCAGCGTTGACTGCCTTGTTGATCTAGTGGTAGTAAACACAGTTACTGATCACAAGGTCCCGCGTTCCAATCCCGATTCGGACCAAAGTCAGTTAATTGGTTTTTCTGTCAATAAATTTTCACCTCCTTTTTGATGAACCGTCTTACATTTCTACACTTCTAAAACTTTACATAACTTTTTTTTATCACAACAAAGCATTAAGAAACTTAAACGTATAAGTTTTGTAATTTATAACATTATTATATAACAAAATAGTGAACACACTCACTAATGAGATGTCGAATCCGACTCTCAATGAGTCCACACCACTGTAATTGATCAATGGGGTTGGCAGAAGATGCGAGTAGAACGATAAAGTGCTTGTAGCGTGAGAAGAAGTTTGGCGCCTCGAAGAGTCGCTCCCAGTTGCATTTACCCAGCATTATCTCATCTGTTATAGCTAGACCTGTGAACAGGAAATTGCATTTTTAAGGAGGATGACATCTTATTACGACTTCTTCTTCCTTCCTTTACGACGGTTACAATGAATTCGTCAATGACATGTTGTTTTTTTTTATCTTTTATTTTTTTAAAGAGGGTTTTATAAAATTATTATAATGTCACCCCGATTGTATTTACATATTTTTTTTATCTTCTTTTAAGTCCAACTTGGACCTTACCGACACGAGACTGGACATGTTAAATTATACAATGTAATTGAGACTTTATGAAAATATAATGATTTCACCAGCTCATTTAGTTTGTCGTTCAAATCTACAATATAAGCCCTTACCAGGACTAAATTATATGTATTATTATATGTAGTTGAATTTTAGATTCACACTTATTATATATGTCATTAATACACAGTAGAATCCCTTTTATACGACTTCGTCTTTAAGTATTCAATTGTTTTAACGGATTTAGATGCAAAGTCAAGTTACATTTTCATACAGCTTTCTTGAAAGCTGTTTAATAGGGCTCCGGTTTAAGGCCAGCCGTTACATATATGTAGCTTTCAGCTTTTTTATTTTCATTACATGCATATTAATTATGTTATCAAAATCGTAATACATAATTATTAAACATAACACAATAATAAATAATCTGGACATTTAGTGAGTACAATTCAGTTAGTACAATGTCAGGTTGTCGGTCCCTTTATCCGGATTCTACTATATACGTTTTTATATTAACATTTTTTGGCGTTAGGACTCTTCTCTTTTGTTAAGAGTTCTGTCTAGGAGTCCATCTGGGTAGGTGGGGTACCTAGGGTAGGGTAGGTACTCCACCTTCTTACCTATTTCTACAGCCAACAGAAGAGTGTGCACCGCTATCGTCCGTTCTGAAGAGTATACAGAGCTAGTATAATTACAGGCTGTGTCATTCTATCTTAGTTTTCAAAGATGACAATGTATCAGTAGTCTTCTTTATATGACGATGGTTGCATGAGTCCATGGGCTAATATAACCACTTACCATCAGATGAACAGTAAGTTTGTTTGTCATTAGGCTGCATCGGGGCAGTGCCTCAGACTAATCACTCTCACAATGAGAGGAAGCCAGTGCCCAGTTTACTTTTAATTGGTATTATATTATTAATTGCATTTTACTTTAATATGTATTGGCGGCTCGTTAGTGACCAAGCGTTTGGTGAGTCGCAGCGGAGTCGCGCGTTCAAATTCGCATGAAACAAGTGTATACAAACATACGTTTAAATGCTCTGAGTCTAGAATTTTCTCTACGAACAGTTTATATATACAAAAAACCTGCACAATACAAGAGAAAATCTAAGTGCAAGGTGAATTTTTTTGAAAAAAAAAAAAAACAAGATACCAAGTCTAAACTCTTCCATGATAACAGTTCGAGTTGAAGCGGACACGTTGAAAGTAGAGTTCTGCTGAGGGTACGCAGGTGTGATGATTGGCATCAGATGAAACCGGTCTGACACGTTCACCTGCGTCAGAAATAATTATTGTCACTAAAAAAATGTTCTGAATATGTTGCAAGTTTGTACAGTAGCCGATATAAATACTTAGTCAGGTCAGGCCTCTATCACTCTTGCTACTTGCGTGAAATAATTACCTAAAATCGCGACGCGCCCGGGCGAAATAACGCAGTCAAGGCTGGCGCGTTGGAGGCATTTGAATGTTAGAGTTTTTTTACGCTGTTTACGTAAATAGGTTTATGTAAATACTTGTTGAAATAGTTTTTATTTAGTGTTTAGTATATTTTTAATTGTAGGTAAAAATAGTTGTAAAAGATTTAATGTATTTTAAAAATTATATAATATGTATATTACCTATTTGATAAATTATAATAGTAAAACGTCGTTCCTACTATAACTGTTGCTTAGATGGATACTAAATAAAATGACCAACAAAAGGTTTCATATCATTCTTTAAGTTACCGAAGAATTTTAGAAGGAAGTTATGAAAGGTGAATTTATTTAATTTTTTTGTTAGATAGGTATTCACAGCAAAAAAGAATTAAGTAATAATTTGGTCTACAGAAGAAATACCTAAGTACTTCATTACAAAAATTAGTTAAAATTTACTTCACTATTCAAGTATATATATACTTACAGTATACCTATACTTGTTTTTTGTAATTAAAATATTTTGAGTTATAATAACACAAAACACTGAAATTAAAACTTTGTATACTAACAAGATTTTTAACTAAATAGAATAGATCACATTTCTGTTAGAAATCGTATTTCAGGTTTATTTGTTGTTTACACTATCTACCTATTTCTCCCAAGCGTTACGATTCCCGACGAATGACGTTGCAATTTGCATGCGTTAGGCATCGCAGAACTCACATATGGGCGAAAGTATGGTTAGTCAATCATAGTCAGAATAAATTAGTTAGTACTTCACCTAAGTAACATAATTAACATTTCGCAATGTATTTTTTTTTACTTTCTATTGACATCCCTTAATAACCACGGAAAGTCCGCCGTGACAAAAAAGATGCAAAGTAATATGGACACTAGCGCGCAGCGATAAAGTTTTATTTAGCTTGCGTGTGCGATTTATCTGATTAATAATAATTATGTAGGCTATTAAACGTCGGTAAGCAGTCGACATCAAAGGAGTGCAACTTCTGTACGTAGTACTATTATTTATTCTGTGGTCAGGTCATAAGATCTGTCAAAAACTTTTTATAAAATTAATGATACCCTTTTTGATAATCATAGAGTAATTATATATGAAATGAAAGGTAATTTAATTTAGAATACAATTTTAATTACATTATTGAAAATGCCCTCCCCTATTTTGAATACATGCCCTTAATCGACGCGACCAATCATCAATCGCAGCACGCACTACACTCATATCTATTATTGCCGCTACTTTAGGCAAAAATGCTCAGAGAGATTCCAAATTCTGATGAAGTTTAGTGCAGAATTTCTCCTCCAAATGTTGCCATATCTTATAATCCAGTGGGCTTAAATCTGGACTAGATGAGATAACCGCTATTCTATTTTCTTTCTTCGACCACTCCATATAATACATAAACACTCACGCCTGTCACCCAGAGGGGTAGGCAGGGACTATGGACTTCCATTTGGCACGATCCTGACATACCTCTTTCGCCTCCTTTACATCCATATATCTACGCATACATGCTCGTCAGTTAAGGGTACTTCTAACGTGGCACCTTTTCAAAATATCGCCAATTTGGTCGATAAACTTTTTTCTAGGGCGTCCCTTCCCGACTCGGCCGTTCACATCTGCCATATAAATTTGCTTTGTCACTCTTTCCTCATTCATTCTTTCTACATGACCAAACCACCGAAGCATTCCTTTCTTAATCAAGGTCATCTTGCATACCACATTTATCTCTTATCACGCAATTTATCACCCTGTCATTCAGATTCAACCCTAGCATACTCCTTAAAGACCGCATTTCTACAGCATTTATTCTACTTTCATGCTTCTTCTGCCACACCCAGCTTTGACTACCATACATTAAAGTAGGGACTAACACAGCATTATGAATTACCATACGTGCCTTTTTGGACACATTCTGGTTCTTCACAATAGAGTGCAGTGCCCCATTAACTCTATTCCCTGCATTTACTCGTCGTTCTATATCCCTATCATATCTACCATCCCTGCTAAATACACATCCCAAATACACAAACTCATCCACTTGCTCAATTAACTCTCCTTCTATTCTTATTTCACATACCGTTTTGCTTTCTTCTCTTTCAAAAACCATCACTTTCGTCTTACTTGCGATCACTTTCATTCCCCTTTCTTTTAATTCCCAGTTCATTAATGTAACCATCATTTGCAACTCAGCCACTCCATATTTGAAAATTAATGAAAATAAGTGTCCTTTTTTATTTTCCGCAAGCGCAAACGTTATATTTTTAAAATTGGTGAAGTTCATCTAGCCAGTATTCAAAATTTTTAAATAATAACGTTTTGACAGAACTTATGACCAGACTAAGTAGCTTTACAAGCAGGGTGTGTAGTGTAAAAATACAGATTAGGATGTGAAATGGATGTATTCCGCATTCTGCATGTGGTAGAGCCATGTTGCAACTATATTATGGTTGTAGCACAAATGCGTTAGTTCGAACGGGGAAGGATCATGATGAGTATAGAGAACCAAAGACTCTTTTAACTGGAAATGAGGCATGTTAGTCCTTATACAAAGCATCTGTATTTTGATTCTTGACGATAGTCTTATTAGTTTTTAAATCCATCTATAAATGTTGTGGAGGTTGTATGAGTGCAGTGCAGACTCACCCTTGGGTCCCAGACAGGGAAGCCGAGGTTAACCGCGTCTGGCTGCTTTAGAAGAACGGGCTGTGGCCACTTCCATTGGCTGAAGACGAGGAAGAACTTGTGCACTAGCGTGGCTGGCAACGCGTTGGGGTACAGCTGGCACGTGCGCGCCACCAGCATCGCCCACGACACGCCGCCCAGATAGCCCAGCGTGTTCGAGTAGATGCCGTGACCTAAACACACCAGAACCTTATACTTATAGGTATACACAATTCAAATGTAAATATCGATCATAAAAAGCTGTTATCAGCATTTGTTACTCAATGTTCATATCAATTAGAACTTAAAAAAATGATAAGTAGACCAAATCTAAGAAAAACCTTTTGTCGCTTCACGTGCGCATATCTGAATATACGCACGAGCGTATATTCAAATATGCGCAATTCAAAATTACCACGATCTATAGAAAGGCGTAATATTGACGCACACTACAATGTTCTTTTTATGTGCGTGACTGGGCGAGCGCAAGGCTAGTTGCCCTACAGTAAAAAATTGGAACTAAAAGTACAAAATAATTTCGGCATAATATATCCTATGAGGTCGGTGCTAAGACATTGTGTATCGGAAACTAATATGTGGGAATTATTTTATTCTTTTAGTAAATTGAAGTCGGTTTTACTTTTTACCCTATTGAGTAGACTAAGGAATGTCACAAGGTCAAGATAACAACTAGAAAGGGGTAAGTAATATAATTATGCTCGAATTGAAAAATATGTATTACATAAAATAGATATTGTTTAATCATTGATATATAAAAACGGGAAGATACATTACGCGCTAACATCGCAATCACTAAACTTCGGCTTGGAGCACGACCACATTCACTGAAACTTACACATCTATCGATCACAGTCGCAAACTTACAGTTACCCACAGATAAAGACAGAGATAGGGGCCGGCGCAGTTGTGCGAGCGAAATCGCGTTAGCCGCCAAATTTTTGCGATTATGAATGACACTGTGGTAGCGTTAGCAAATACATATCAGGAAAAAATATACATTAAGTAAATTGATTTTTACTACGTACTTTACTTTTAATTTACGTAATTATGTCATGTTTTTATTAGACACTTAGATAGTTATTACATATAGTATATTGTTTAGATAGTTTTTGTCGTTTTGTTATACGATTGGTTAATCTAATTAATGTATTTCTAAAGCAGACAAAATATCTGAATTCACAAAATATTGTATCACATTTAGTTTTTGCCGGAATACTTACTTCACACAAAGAAAATGTTGAGAATAGTTTTCTCTAAAGAACATTTTTATTGCTGTTCTGCTTAAGGCATATCTTGAATAAATCATAAGATGGATAGCACAAACCCCCCTATGCCTATATCCTTTAGATTAATTAATTTATGAAAGTTTTAGAAACCGTTTGCTCGCCATAGTCGAGTAATAACTATAAAATATAATAATTCTGTACTAACAATTACTAAAAACAACATACTTTATTGTCTTGGTAAACACAAGTTTTGGAATAAGTATTGTATAAAACATAATTATTATCAAATATAAATTTAATAAATTATAAGAAATTTGTGTTTCTAACCCTACGTAACCTCAGTCTAGTACATCGAGGCTTGCAAATCGCGCATTGCGTGCGCATCGTGTCACTCATGCATGTTTGTATTAGCTATGTCGCTCTCACACACATGGCGAAGCCAACATTAAATATTATAATAATTTTCAACAAATTGAAAATTTGGCCGTATTTACTTAAAAGTGGTAAGTATTCCCGTGTGTCTTATTTTTTCTTTCTTGAATTATTAGAACACTGTTTAGCTGCACAAAAAGTCATTTTGATGCGTACCACAAGAACTGAAATTATTGAGCTCTATAATCAACGATGTTCAGTTCAGTGTCACTGTGTCACTGCGAGCCAACTACGTGCTATCCCGCAGTTTGGTAGGACCGAGCGCTGTGGATTAAGTGACGTATCTTCCCCTTTTTAAATATATCAATGTGTTTAATATACTTTTATTCTGTTATAATTAATACATATATGTAAACATAATTCATACAACCAACAATTTCATTGGTGTCGGGATCGAACCCAGGTTCCTCGCGTTTACGGAGAGCGTTTTTATTTCTGTTTTATAATAACGTTACCTCCACACTAGGAATCTCCTTAGTATATCATGGGGGCAGTTAACATAAGTAACCACACATAACTATTGACGATTTTCCATATTAATATCACACTATTAACGATAAACTGTAATACAGCGCGTAAACAGCACGGACAATAAGTGAGTCTGTATTCAATTCGAAAGCAGGTAGTGCCAGATGTCACTTAACAAAGGCCTTTTGTGTTTGCGCATATGCTATGTTCAAACAACAATAATTCTTAAAGTAATAGAGATACAGCTGTAAACTTAAGGTTGTATTGTAGCTTAGCTCAAAATCTAGTAAAATAATAAAAAGGGTAATCGGTTTTGTTTTTGCAGTAATTTACAATAATTTATATTTTTTGGTATCTTTTTGGACTAAAATATTTTTTTTTAAATTACGGGTATGTTGAACCCATTTTTTCGTAATGTAAACAATTGACAATATTTTTCCCCTCGGAATGAATGAGCCTATTTGTATCTATATGCATCTTACCAGTGTTTGAATGAATTATTTGAAACGAAAATTTCAAATAATAACCTAAAATAACTTTTACCTATAACAAACTTTACATTTTTTATTTTGTAAATTGTTAATTGAAATTTTTATTTTAAGAGTTGTATAAATTATATGTAACGTATTACGATTAAGTAACATTTTTAAAACATTCAGTGACTATTAGTTGTGCTGATCCTAGTGAGAATACCAAATTATGAATTTATTGTATTGTTATTGGTCTTTAATATGTCTGCAAACTTTCATCGTATTTAGTTCAGAAAGATCACCAGTAGGTGAAGACTGAATTATAAAACCCCATTACTTTCATACATATATACACAAAGATCAAACTGATAAATATGAGTTAAAAAATCATACTCACGTTTAGCCCAGAGCTTTATAGCGCGTAGCGTCAAGCGGAAGTTGTTAATGTTGGGCACAAGACGTAATATCTCGTCTGTGACGCGGCACCCGTTGAGTGATCTCACGCATTTCTGGTCCAGGTTCTTCAAAAGCATGTCATCGCGGAGGTCAAATGAGTCTACAGAAAAGATACACAATACAGTATACCCCTAGTCAATGAGTTTGTCTCAAAGGTAAAGAAACTGAAAAATTCAAAAAACATGCCACAGGCTTGTTAATATACTAGATCCCTACGCTTTCGGTGTTTCGAATATTACTTCGGAAAAGAAATCAAAATAATAATAATAATATTCTTTATTTGCAAGAATATGGTTGTACAATGGTGTTCGAGTATAATTCGTTCTACATATTCTACCTCAGTCACAGCGGTGACACTCCTTGTACGTGAGAGCTTAAGCGCCGGTGACCTTGAGTCGATGCGTGTAACGCTAGGGTTGGTATCGAACCGAAATGAAATATTATAGACTTGTACCACGGTAATATTATCTATACAGTATTGTAACTCGGCCGTATCTTTCAAATAAATGCCTACAGCCGTGCGGCACGTAAACATGTTATAGGGTTACCTGCCTCCAGAATTTTTACATTTGCCTACTTTGTGTTTCCATTTAGTTTTATGATTGTAAATATACTTTTTATATAAACAAATAAAATAGGTACTTTGTGAATTGAATAGGAAGTGTTCAATAAAAATGCGTGTCGTTTTTGATTGGTAGATTTAATTAAAAAACCATGTTTATGTTTGAATAACAAATCGGTTAAATAAATTTGCGACCGAAAAATATTTGCACCTCGGCTGAGACTTACGAAATGCTTTATTATTAGATTTTTAAATATAAAAAATCCGCTTTCTAATATAAAGCTAAAAATAATATAAATTAAAAATTGTTTTGGGAAACATGGACAACGTGGTGAAAAGGAATATCTTTTAATTGGTTATAGATACCTGCAGCTACTTTACAATTTATATGTTTGTTTTTAAATGAAGTTCAGATTTATTATTTCTTTATTTCTATTCTATTATTTATTTCCTCCATTTTTTATATATTTGACAAAATCGTGACTGCGGCACAGTCTCGACTGTCTGCATGCCGAGCGCATGCCGAGATCGAGGCGCGTAGGCATAGCTCTCGCTTCGTCCGTTTGTATGAAGTTGGAATACTGTATAGATAACATTACCGTGCTTGTACCAAAGAAAATACATAGTAGGTATGTGTTATATATTATGTAAACTAATGTATTTAGGTAGTGAAAAATACGTTCAATTTTAAATCAACTTTTATTAAATGAGGAATATTAAAACTTCCGACAAAACCAAATGTGCACGACAGTTAATGGTAATATTAAAGAATTAACCAACATTTACTATTTCAGTACCCAATAATCAGTATTACCTACTATACTTTAAAAATAATTTACTCTTATATATTTTTGAATTTTTTGATTAATTTGTTAATATATTCATATTAACTAATACTGACAAATATCGAGATTACTACTAGCCCTCGGCCAGGGCAGTCGGCGACTGCCCGTTCCACGCGCCGCGCGCATCTCAAGGCCCCCGCACACATCCAGACACCCACACATAGCCGCAAGCGATTTTACGTGCGCACATGCTTAAGTGTCGTTTCTTTTCGCGTAGTGTACATATTCTTTGCCTCAGTGGTGTGCAAATATTAATGGTCAAATAACTTATACAACAACACTTATCGAATTTTTAACAACACAAAATTTTTTAACATTACTCAGTCGATTTGATAATTAATTAATTAAGTAACAGTGTCAGAAAAAAATGCCAATAAGATGTATAAGTATTATTATCGCTCAATGTCAGATAATCACATTTTTATGTCAATAATTATATAAAGTCAATTATAAATGTTACATAATTATCATTAATTTATTTCAATATTTATATCTAATTTACTAATTAAATAAATAAAAAAAAGTTTTAGGAAGAGACCATAACCATAGATTTATTTTATAAAAAGACCCAAGAAGAAGAAGTTACCCCCGCAAAAGGATTTTTTCCGGTATCATGGAGGCAGTTTATATTGGATGACATTTTTTACCGTTAACATTAACATTTGTAAGCCTTACAAATACTTGTTCCGTGCAGAATTCAATGCCGCGGCCCTCAGCGTCGTAACTAATTGCTAAGCCATTGCACAACGGAGCTGTTCAACAACTGCGTACATGGGTTTATAACTGTCTTGTTAGATATAAAACTTATTTACCAAGATCTTGTCTCAATGTAAGGATGTTTTGCAGAAAATATCCAGTAGTTTAACGCTGCTCCTCATCACCACTAGCTATATTACATCTAATGTAATATGCGAAATGGTAATAACCACTATCTAATATGAGGTCATGCAATCATTCTTTTATTTCCCATAGTCTTACGACATTGGGGATCGGAACGTTGAAAGATTTTCTAATGTTACCAAAACAGCACAACACATTAAGGTGAAACCTACGGACTGCTCCTAGCCATTCTCCCGCAAGATGGCGCTAAAGTCAACACTTTTAGTTTATTTGGGTTTTTGTGTAATTGGAAAATTATTAAGTCGTAGGAGTAGATTTTGCGGTTATCGGATATTACATTTTATTGGAATGGGTCATATCATTGCCTCAAAATCCACCCAATTCGACACAAAGTTTGATTATAACATCTGTCATTGAATATAGTGTCGTTTACACACACACAGACGTATCCCTACGTTTACGAAGCTTGAACACTAGATGGCGTGTATGTAAAAAAACAAGTTTTTAATTTTTCTCTATCTGTAGATTGGGTAAGCAGAACTACAATACGCTATGTACGATTGTTATAAAAATAAAAGTTATATTTGTTGGCGTAAACTATTTAATTGATTTATTACTTTGGGAAATAAATTATGTCAACATTGATTACAATATAACGCAGTTTTATTTTATTACGTTACACTATTGAATTTTTTTATCAAAACAGAAGTACTTATCTGAAACAACATAATTATGCTGATACATGCCTATTCACTCAAATCTAATAACACTGATGTTTGTAACAGTACCAATTATTACAATAATTAGACATTTCATAACCAACACGTAAGAAACTATAATTCATAAACAAGAGATAACAACAAATCTATAGGTAACACGATTTATTTTGTGATAATAACCAGGAAGGTGAAAATAATATTTCCTAATTTGGAAGCACTCAACAAAAGCTTTTAGTAAAACAAAAATATAAATATACAATATATATACAAATCTTCCTTTAATTCTGTATGAATTGGGTTGCGGTCCGAACACTAGATCTAGAACACTAAAATGTACAAAAATTTACTTATCTTTTTGTTTCAATATTATCTTTATATTCCTGGTAGAATTGGCCGACGAATAAGAAAAGTATAACTCAGATTAGAATAAGCTATTTATTTATAAACAATAAAGCAAGGAACGGAAAAAAGGATTTTATGTAACTGAATTTTAACCTTTCAGCTGCGGAGACTCTAACCGTCATACTCCGTTGACTGCGGAACTGTTAAATAAAATTGACGGCTCATTGGATGCAATCCGTTTAAACGCAAATTTCTTGATTTTGGTATATCAAATACTATAATATGTATACATTTCTGAATTCTCTATGAAATTTCCTATAAACGAGTATATAAATTAAATAAAGTTCCAAAGTAATAAGTGTAAGTAAATATTGAGTAAAGACAAAATTGTCATATTTCTCGATGAAACAAAGTTGTTTTTTAATACTTCGATTTTTTTAATTTTATTTCAAATCTATTGTTTACAATATTTTATGCGCAAAATCATAGGCTACAATACAATTTTTTATTATAAAAAGCGTTAATAATAAGCTTACAAGAACCAACAATCAACTTACACCGATGTAGAATGTAGTTCGGACCAGATGCGGCATTCATGAATTTGTCAATAAAATTAACACTAGTTTTTTTTTATTTCATTAAAAATATATACTTAAATTCATGGAAAAACATGTGGTTTTATTTCCAGGGCTAGTTGAACCTCTCTTTTCCTTACATGATTCAGTCATCTTTAAATAGACCTTGCTAAATTTTACAAATATCATAAAGTATTTCATAAGTATTCTTAGTGCCGATATCAAAATTTCAGCCGTAAGTGCCATATTTATTGAAAATTAATTACTTTATTTGAGCAAACAATTTTCAACAGCACTTGTAGAGAAATAAAGATTCATTCATTCCCTTAAAAGCCATAAAACCACTCAAAGGTCACTCCTGCGGATGTAGAGACTAAAATAACGTTTTTTCTAAATAATACGCAATCCGCCACAATAGTGTCGAGTGACAAAGCCGTTCAGAGGCGCCGCGAGGTGCGCTTCGGTAATATTACATTTTCAATAACCAAAATAATTTTAGCAACATTATTTCTCCTTTAACACAAATAATATCTACGAAATAATAACATTTAAAATAAACGTATCTCTTCCTGAACTAAAAAAAAATATTATGGATATATATGAACCCAATTTTTATGCTCCAAAAGTATGCCACAATTAAAGTCCGATTTTGCACTTTTTGTGCATTATGTACTAGTTCATTAAAACATTTTTATACGTGGTAGAGCCATGCTGCAGTTATATTAGTAGTATGGTTGTTGCACGAATGGGTCGGCTCGAGCGGGGAAGGACCACGCTCTCACAGAATACCAGCGTGAAATATTAGCTTAATGCTGGCTTCTGGTGAGTGTAGAGAACCGGAGACGGTTTTTACTGGAAACGAGGCATTCCATCTTAGTCCTCACGGGTGACAACGCATCTACATTTTCATTTGTAATCGAGGATAGATGTAGATATCTATGGGCCGCAGCAACTACTTACAATCATGGACTGGCTCACACCCTATTCTATAGAAAACATACAAAATAAAAAGGTGTATTCATTTCAACGATGAGAACCGTGGTGGCTCAGAAGAGCCCCGGTAGCTCAGATGGTTAGCTCTCGCGTTGAATTTCACAGTAAGCTAGCAAACCGGGTTCGATCCCCGCTGGCGTCAATGAAATTGTTAATTGCAATTTTAAGTGCTGATCTATCACGTGCTCAGCGGTGAAGGAAAATATCGTGAGGAAGTCTGACTGACTGAGAAATAAGAAAAAAATATTTCGAAGACATGTGAAGTTCACCAACACGCATAGGGGCAGCGCGGCGGACACTTCTTTTCCTTAAAACCCTCTCAGATGTGAGGTAAGGCCCAGCAGTGGGACGTAAAGAGGCTGTAACTTAACTAACTTAACTATTTCAACAATGATAGTCTGAAATAATCAGCTGAACAATTTATAGCTAGGCAACAATAAAAACTAAATGGATGGATGGACATAACTATAAAATTGAATAAATATATAACATGGGTACTCATTTCTTTAAAAGGCTCCTGGTACTTGTTGGATTTACTGTTTCTACAGTACTATTCATTTATGAATGGTACTGTAGGTATCAGCAATCTTGCTCTAGGTTGAAACATAACGCAACGTTACACGATTTGCAAAACTGAAACGTACGTAAAAAGTAAATCAAAAAGAATTAATTTTTTTTAATTATTTTTGATTTATGAATTTTGCAAAGTGCATACAGAGAAAATGTACTTTGAATTAATATATATAATTTGAAAATATTGCACTTTATCCTCATTTTGATGTACTAAAACTGTAACTGTAACTGTGTGATTAACAATTACACATATTTTAACAAAAAACTGACGGTCAACACTAAAATTTTACGTACATTTCAAGTCAAATTTCCGCAACCAGCATGTTAGTTCTAAGATAGCGGTTTGCTTCATACAAATTAAAAAACAATTTTACACTTACTTAATGAGATTACAAATAAGGAGGTTGCTTACCAAGGCATTGTTTTAACATAATTAATATAAATTAGTACAAAATAATTGCTAACAACTTTGTTGTTAGCGCGCGTCAGTCACACTTATGGCTGACTCAAGGCACGGATGACGTGGAGAGCTGTAGGGTTTTTATAGTAACCTTTTTTATCCTGTACACATCGACATATGGTAGAATGAGTTAGACATAGTGCGTAATGCTTTATTTCGACATTAAAAGAGCGGATAAAAATGTCCAGCACTTGGACACCCGCAGTCAACGGAGATATTTTCGTGTCCAAGGGTTAAACGTCCGCAGTTGAGAGGATATTTGTTTCTGAACGCACGATAACCGCGAACTTGAGCTCTACAAAATATAACAAACTAATAATGTGTATCTGTCTGAAACTGCAAAATGCGTAAAAGGTGTTTAATGTAATCCGGCATATCATATTTAGCAAATGTTTGCAAGTTTAATTTTGTGACTACTTTGGTAGTTTATCAATATATAATAATTGTATTTATTGTTGCCTAAAAACATATTCAAACACATTCATATAACAGAAAAATCACGGGCCAGCCTGCTGTTTCTAATACCACCGAAAACATAATTGCGTTTTTAGAATAATTAATTACTATAATACCTACGATAAATTACAATATAGTCTCAAATATATACTAGAGAAATAATGCAATTCAAATCAATGCATGCATACAAAATATGTATAATACACAAGAAATTCCTTTTTTTCGTCAATTCAAGGTCAGGAAGGACGGCATCGTCGCTCTACCTACGACTTTTGGTATTTATGTTGCCACACAATAATAAGTAGTAAATTGTTTACAAAAAAACGTAGGTGTCTAAGGTCCTTAGTTTTATGTTATTTTATACTGTTTTTTTTACGGTTGGAAAGAAAATTAACCAATTATTGAACTTAAGATATTGATTTATCAGAATTATTTAGGATCATTTGGATGCCATCTAACGTGCCAATGTTTAAACGTTGCCTTTCGTTTGCTTGTCAAAAGTCATGCACACTACTAAAGAGTGTCAAATTTTTCCGGGATTTCACTATTGTTTTTCTCAGTATATAATGTAAGTTATTGCCTATAAAGGTCAAACGCGTACACATTTCATTGTAGAGAAGTGATAAAATTATTAGTTTTAAAGAAAGAGTGTCTGCATTTAGTGTATATTTTGATTAAAAAATGTATGGACGGACGGCCGGCGCTTCCACCTTCCACCAATGAGGTAAACAATTGGTTAAATAACATACCTGGTATCTCTTTAAGGGCGAGTCTTGCGAACAATAAGTCAATCTCTATTCCGTCAAAATTCATCTTTATTACTGGCACAAAGGCATCCTCCACAGCCCTCAAATCTTTAACCTAGAACAAACAATCGATTTATTACATATTCTAAGTCAATGCTTCACTACTGTCAATATTTCACATAATGTTTTGATGATAATATTATACTTCGATAAGTCTGCTAGTCTGTAAAGGAGAACAATAAGTGGCGGACTTTCGTCAACTCAATTACCATCTCATAACTGAGAGTGGACATATTACCCAACTGTGGGACTTTTTCAGTTAACCTCTCGCATGTCGGGGTCATTTTGGCTAATATGGCGCATCTGTCGAGCACTTCCCGAAGTACTTCCAGACTACTTCCTGCTGTTCATTAAAATGACTATTTCCAAGACATTTTGTATAAAAGATATATTAAAATCATAAATCAATGGAAACTTTATTTAATAAGCTATCAGATTATGTATAACTTGAATACAGGTTTACTTCGAAAGTGATACTAATTTGAAAATGAAAGTAAGAAAAGTATTTTTCCCCAATTTTCCGCAAAGGTGTAATAATTATAAATTAAAGCCTTTATTCCAAGTACTATTTGTTTTATTTGTACGTCCAAAGCATATTTATTCATAGGAATTTTTATTTCTCTAAATATAAACTTAATGAGATTTTATCTTGTAATACATAACTTGCTTGGGTTCAATTTCCTTTGTTTCTTGGCTGAGGTTTCTTACTTGGTAGGTTTGTTTATACTATGCTTGATATTGGTAACAATACTTATCTTTTTATAAATTTACCTACCACATATTTTTAATTTAATTTTTTTTTTTTTGGTTAAATTTTGGGTTTTGATTTGTTTGATTTGACAATGACAACTATGTATTACTTTTTTTTTTCCTTTTATAGACAAAGGACACATGAATCATACAGCCAGCGTCGATCTTATACTTTGCTTTAATCGATTTTCTCTTGGTAAACATTTTCCTGTAATTTTTTTTTTTTTGTGATATCTACTTAGGAACTTTATTATTAATCAAGATTATTTTTGCCACTTTAGATATTTTAGATCATAAGTTTGCATATAAAAAAAAATTTTATTTATATTAAGTTTACTCTGTAAACAGTTAACTGATGGGTTGGTGATGTTTATGTTTAGTAATTTGTTAGTTAATAGTTATAGTTTACATAACTTACTTTATTTTTTATTTTTTTATTATTATTTTTTTATATATTTATTTAATTTATTTATTATTTTAGTATATGTAATATGTCTGATGTTGAGTCGTTTAGCTCTGCAAATGATTCTTCTACTTTGTCATTTCACTCTTGTAATGATTCTCTCAACGAGAGCGTGCTTAATTTACACGAACTACTCAAAGGAGTTTTTACGCCTTTTAACAACTCTGTGAACATATGTCATATTAACGCTCAAAGTATCCCGAGCCACTATTCCGAACTTGAAGCTTCATTTTTCCCCGAGTATATTCATGCTATATTAGTGTCGGAAAGTTGGCTGAAACCTTCTTTACCATCAACTTTATATCCCTTACCCGGCTTTGTACTTGTTAGGAATGATCGTGTTGGAAAAGGTGGAGGTGGTGTAGCAATCTACCTAAATGCATCAATTCCTTATAAAATTGTCTTAGCATCTCCCTCCTGCTATTCCGCTTCTTCTGAGTTTTTATTTGTGGAACTCGATGTCAAGGGCATCAGGATGCTTCTAGGGGTAGTGTATTGCCCCCCATCTACCGACTACTTCGCCACTTTAGATATGGCTCTTGTTGATATTTGTTCTGAGTACACTCACTGTATAATCATGGGTGATTTCAATACTGATCTGTTGAAAAACTGCCCTCGTTCCAAAAGGTTTCTTTCAATTATTGAGTCGGTTAATCTTTCTATTCTCCCTTTAAAGGCTACTCATCATAATATCGGAACTGATGACTCATTGATTGATCTAATCCTTGCTGCTTCTCCTGAACATGTAATGACGCATGGACAGTTACCCGCTTTGGGTTTCTCACGCCACGACTTAATTTATGCATCGTATAAGCTTAAACCTCCTAAATATTCCCCTACTGTAATGCATCTTCGCAGTTTTTCTAAAATAGACTTTGTCAAGCTTAGGAATGACGCTCTTAATCTCGATCTAGCCTCCTTAATAGCAGCATCTACTGTTGACGATAAAGTCACTATCCTTAACCACAATATTCTTAGCCTTTATGATGCTCATGCTCCTGTTCACAAGGTTAGATTGAAGCGTCCCCCCTGCCCCTTGGATGACAGAGGGCATAAGGATGGCAATGGCTAGACGAAATCGTGCTTTTCTTCGTTTCAAGAGAAATCGAACCGAAGAAAATTGGTTATCTTTTAAAGCAGCCAGGAATAGGTGTAATCATATGGTACGTGCAGCTAAACGCCGATATTTCCATAACTGTATTAATAACTCTTCTCCAGTTTTAGTGTGGAAATTCCTAAAATCTTTCGGTCTTTGTAGACCAGCTACATTGGATTGTGGTCCTTCTCTGTCACTTGATAAAATCAACCAACATTTCGCTTCTGTAAAAGCACTGGACTCTGCAATTCGTTCCCAAACTATGGCTTCCATTGCTTCTATGCAAATTCCTAACATTCCTACCTTTACTTTTTCTCCTGTTTCTGAGGATGATGTCAAAAAGTCAATTTTAGCAATCCAGTCCAAGGCCGTGGGTTACGACGAGATCAGTAGACATATGGTAGTATTTATACTAGAGCACCTTCTCCCGGCAATTACCCATATAATCAATTTTTCCCTTGATTCAGGTCAGTATCCTAATCTTTGGAAGAGGGCTTTTGTAAAGCCTCTCCCAAAAGTTCCTACTCCCATTCTTCCCAATCATTTTCGTCCAATATCCATTCTACCCTTTCTTTCCAAAATTTTAGAATCCTGTGTTTACAAGCAAATTTCTACTTTTGTTTCGAAACATAACCTACTGAGTATATATCAGTCTGTGTTTTCGTCCTGGTCATAGTACCACTACTGCATTAATTAATGTTATTGATAATATTAAACAAGGCATGGAAGAAAAAAAATAACAGTACTGGTACTAGTTGATTTCTCAAATGCTTTCAACACAGTCGATCACGAAATCCTTCTTTCCATACTGTCTCACCTGAATTTTGGCCCTACTGAATTGGATTGGTTTACATCTTATCTTCGCGGTCGACAGCAGTCAGTCAGTGTGGGGCAACTGTCCTCAGCGTGGGCTGATGTGGATGCTGGTGTACCGCAAGGCGGTATTCTTTCTCCTATAATGTTTTCAATTTTTATAAACTTCATTACTTCCATCATCGACTGCTCGTACCATTTGTATGCCGATGACCTTCAGCTTTATGTGCAAACTGAGATTGGGGATATCCATAATGGGATCAAAAACCTTAACGGCAACTTAGCAGCTATCAGGGATTGGTCAACTCGTTATGGGGTTTTGGTCAATCCCTTGAAATGCCAAGCTATACTGGTGGGTAGCTCAAGGATGCTGGCTAAGATTAATCTGACAGACTTACCTCCTATTTACTATGATAATTCTACAATTCCATTCAATAATTCTGTTAGAAATCTTGGCCTTCACATCGACAGCACGCTGAATTGGAGAACTCAGGTTTCAGATGTGAGTCGTAAAGTCACTGCCACGTTATGCTCTCTGTATCGTTTAAAGCATTTTCTCCCCACAAAATCTAAGATCATGCTTGTCCATTCACTTATATTACCCATAATTGATTATGCAGATGTGTGTTACCCAGACCTGTCCCAAGATCTTCTGAACAAGCTGGAACGCCTCCTCAATAACTGTATAAGATTTATCTTTGGGCTCCGTAAGTATGATCATATTTCGCAATACAGATCTAAGCTAAATTGGCTTACAATCCGGCAGAGGCGCAACTCCAGAATATTACTTGTACTTTTTTCCATATTAAATGATCCATCTTCGCCTTCTTATCTTAAGAGTAAATTTCATTATCTTTCCTCATCTCATGATAGGGTCCTACGCTCTTCTTCTAACAACAAAATCTGTACTCCAGTTCACTTCACTGAGTTCTATGGTAACTCCTTCACAGTTCAGGCTACACGCCTTTGGAACTCCTTGCCCGATGACATCAGAAAAGCACCCAATAAGTACGCTTTTAAAAAGTTGGTCCGTGATCATTTATTAAAGACAACGCATTCTACATGACTCATTTATTTATTTAATATGTATTGCCGAACAGACGTATATATTCATAGTCATTTGTATATACTAATTATGTATGTATTGTATGTATATCCATTTATTTATATATTTGTATATATGTAAGGATAGATCATATATGTATAGTTTATTTATTAGTAGTTTGTATATATTATGTAGTTAATTATCGTATTGTGTTATCTTATTCTATATTGCCACACCTACGTCAAACTCTCACCACTCCATGGGTTGACTGGTAGAGAATGCCTCAAGGCATTAAGTCCGCCCTTTGTATTCTTTTGTTAAGGATGCAATAGAGAATAAATAAATAAAATAAAAAAATATTTAATTATAAAAAAAAATTCATAATTTTTTTGCTTACGACAAGATCGAGAAAGGCCTCACTTAGCTCTTCTCGACATCGGGGCAAAAAAATAAGGAGGTTCACACAAAAAACAAAAAAAAAAACACATTATTAAATCAAATTAAGACAAAATCAATCATGCAGATATATATACAGGGTGTTAGTGTAACCACCGTAGTCCTTGAAACCAGTGGTTTGGTTTCACTTATAGAACGTAAATTCAATGAATTAAAAAAAATTACGCTATTTTCTTTAAAAATATACTTATTATACTTATATAATAGGTACACATAATCTGACTGGCAAAAATTGAGAAATTAAGGAAAAATTGAGATTTTACTAAAAAAATGTTGTTATTTTTCATTGAATTTACGTCCTATAAGTGAAACCAAACCACAGGTTTCAAGGATCATGGTGTTTACACTAACACCCTGTTGCAAATAGTTTGCTATCACTCAACGCCATATCGTTACAAAAGACAGAATACGGCGTTTGGACAGCCGAGGGGTTAATATTTTTATACATTATACTATAATATACCTGCGGCTGAGATTTCAGGAGCTCGTAGAAGGACTGGAAGTAATCAGTCCGGTCAATGTGCCTCGGCGCCACACACAATGCATCAATATCCGCCCCTCTGTGGTGTACCTAAAATTAGATTGAGTTCTTATTTCAGTCATTATTATGTAGACTGGAAGTTAATTTGACATATTAATACATACATAAACTCTCACGCCTATCACCCAGAGGAGTAGGTAGAGACTACGGAATTCCATTTCGCACAATCCTATCACTATGACACTGACTCCATCCAAGTCCAGATAAAAGAGGAGGACGGAGAGAGGGGGTGTATGCTGTGAACTAACACACCCAACAGCTCTAGGACCTGCGCAGTCGCGCAGCAGCACGTCGTACGTGGGGATGACCTGGAGTCGTGGATGCTTGAGCCGATCGTCACTGAGGAATATGTCGAGAAGCAACACACCCTCTTTGGTCCAGATTTCAAGCTAAAAGGTGGCCCTATCTACCAGCCACAGATAGGGAAATGGCTAAGGGTCCCGTCAGAGGGTCGCTGGCGAGGGATGTGGGGGCTGCCTAGTTTACCTTAAAAGGGCTAGATGGTGGTAAAGGCCATGCTGACGGAGCAAGTGACAGTGTGATTCGGGCAGTGGGGATGGGTCTTTTCAGCCCTATTTGTCAGCTGAGCCAACTTCACGTCCCTATATTCCCCCGGTAATCCTAAAGTCGATTCCACCAGAGACTTTTCCGGACTTAGGGACCTTCAGGAAAAAGCCTACTTCTTTTTAAAAGGCTGGCAACGCATCTGCAATTCCCCTAGTGTTGCAGTTGCTCATGGGCGACGGTAGTCAGTTACCATCAGGTGAGCCGTATGCTCGTTTGCCCCCTCTTCTATTAAAAAAAATCCATGATGCTATTAAGGGGGTCGGCGTTAATTAACTTACCGCTACACGACAAACAACACGCCTACAGCTTAAGTATTTCATTATTTTAAAGAACAATGACGAATCAGTAGTTACCTTTTATAGGGATCAGGAGCACAAAAGCTGTATTCCAAGACTTGGATTCGAAAGAAAATGTAATTGTACCGGCAAAGAAGCGTTTATAGACAAATATTTCAAGGTGTGCATTCCAGATGCCGCATAATTAAATTTTAAATAAAAATCAAACATTTATTTAAAAAGGCTAATGAAGTAATAAAATATCAACTAATTTCTTAAACACTCACCCCAAGTCTATAAGAACCAAATGTATAAATATTTCCTCCAACAGTTTCCGCCACACTTGGTGGCATGTTCTTCCTTAACGATTCGTCTCGTATCCACTGTCTGACGAGTCGGTGCAATGAACCCAACACCTCCATACGATGGTGCATTTCAGCCTCTGACTCAAACACACCAAATGGCACAAGTGATTCTTTCAATTCATTTGTCTTCTCTATGTCTATAGGTTTCGGGCCTGGAATTCAAATTAAGTAGTGTTAGTTCATAAGGTAATATATAATAGTGAATTTGTAATGTAATACACCGAAATAGAAAGGTAAAGGAAAATCTCTCAACCTCTGAGAAAGCTGAATGAAATCACTAAAATACTATCCCAGTACTTTAGGATAGTACTTAGTGATTTCATTCAGTATTCTCAGAGATTAAGACACTATCAACAACAACAACAACAAAGCCATCAAAAACATAACTTAGTTGCGAGACTTGGTTTTTTTTTACAAGTTATGTTTTTGATAGCATCTCATTACTGTTTGTAGATAGTCCTACCTTTTTTTTCCTTTCCGGTTCCTTCTACTTCTTGAATACCAAAAACATACCTATCTATACCTATTACTCAATTATACATATAAAGGTACAGATTCATTCACTGCAAATGTAACTTTGTAATCCTATAAATTTATATAGGATTACAAAGTTAGTTATGCAGTTGGTGTATCTAGAAAACTGGACCAATTCCAATATATTTTAGTTTTTCCTTGATTTATACACAAAACACTAAATGTATTCTACATTTGAAGCTTCTATGTCTGCTATATATAATTTTGTCACTCACTGACTGACCGATCATCAAAACATAATAAGGCACATCTTATTATGTTTTGATGATCGGTCAGTCAGTGAGTGACAAAATTAAGAAACTTTGACTAGTTATAATTCTTAAACTACTGGTTCAAATTGAATGAAATTTGAAATACGCCGTGTTTATACAATGTGTGCTTGCTTACAGAAAATTCAAGGTTCTAGTTTTATCCACAACAAAGTTATAGGGGGGGTCGAAAATGGCCTGAACTGCTTCGAGAAAAGTATGGTATTGGTATGGTACGGCCGTGCCGCTTTTTTGCTCGACTTGGCGGATAATCATTAAGATAATCATTTAATCATTTTCCCTATACCAATATGAAATCACCACGTAAAAAAGCATTCTTAAAACCTTATTTTACTATCTAAGAATTTTAATTTTTCAATACTTCTTTCTTAGTGGATGCCTACTTAATAAAAGGAAGTTATTGTTCCAATTTCACGCATCTACATCCAGCGGTTTGAGCTATAGATTTAATACAATATTGTCATACAAAATAATTATAATTTTGTCATACAAAATTTTAACCCTTGTCGTAAAACCGTAAAAGAGAAATTTTAATATTTTATTACTTTAAAGCATTAAATACTTTTTCTCCCTTCAAATTGAACATTATCTACCCTCTTCTCCCTCCCCCGGTAAGAAGTTGTTTTAAGAAATACCAAGATATTTTATTTCCATACAAAATTGCATACCCTCTGCCCCTGCACCCTCTATCGTAAGGGGTTATTTTGAAATCGCAAAATAGGTACGTATTTATTTATTTTTTAATTACAATACTCTCAGTAAATATCGAGTCAATAGCTCTGTAAAATATTTTTATAATAAAATAATAAACTGTAACACCCTTATTTCACACTCTTAGGGATCGAATTTTCCAAAATGATTTCACAACGGATTTCTACGTCATAAAAGGTTACAGTAGTATAGTGGTCAGGTAGTCACTCAGTGTAGTTTACTCGGACTCAGAATATAGAGTATATTAATATAGTAGATACACAGTGAACAGTGACATCTTTCGGTAAATAGAAAAACTAACTTTACGACAAATAAAATGTTATTCTGTTCGTTTTAACTATGTCCTTACCTAATTATAACAACATACCTATTAACTAAGCAAATAAAAACATAAATTAATAATATGCACTTTATTACTAATTCCAAATTTTACACTAAAGAGAAAAATGCGTCAGGACGGCACTATGGACTCTTCCCCACTCCAAGAAGTATGAGAATGCCTACAATGATATCCTTTTTTTATATATACATTTCATTGAATGCATTTACTCAGCCGTTGACCATATTATATTGGCTGTATATTATAATATATAACCCGCTTCTTCGCTTCCGTAATTGGGTAAAGCAGGCGTGATAGATCGTGAAAACTATGCCAAACATTGAGTTATATAAATCAATGATGCCAAATATGTAAAGCAACCAATTGGGAGGCCTATGTTCAGCAGTGGACTTTAAAATGCTGTAACTAAAATTTCGTTGAAAGCGAGCAAAGCAATTATTTACAGATTATGCGTCCTTAATATCTCCTTCATAATGAAACCTTATGGTGCTTGAATATAGGTACTTATAGCGCCATCTATATAAAATTATAGTAGTTAATTTATTAATTCAGTAAAATAAAAATTAGTTATATTATATTTAGACAATAATGGGTAGGAATAATATAAAAAAAAAACTCAAAACTGGGTAACATAATTTTTCAATTTAACGACAATGTAAATTTTAAAACTTTCGGAAGTGCAAAAGGAAAGTATAATATGTTTACTGCCAAGCTTCTATATCATTGATATGATTAGAGATTGCAAAATCCGGATTTTTTTGAAATCCGAAATTTTGAATTTTTCTATGTTTAAAATACGTATTATCCGGATTTTTCGAAGTTTTAGGGTGATTTGATAAAACTGAAATAAAACAGCATAAATCATTTAAAATCTGCATTTATTCTGACACGACGGAATAAAATCAAACAAAATAATTAAAAACCGTGTTGTGGCGGTTAAGAATATCCACTATCCCATATCTTCCCGTGGGTGTCGTAAAAGGCCACAGAGGGAAGCAGGCAGAAGATGGGCAGCAGCATCTTCCTGATAAAAGTAACAAAAAACTGCAGTTACCAACCCGCTCGCCAAGCGTGGCAACTATAGCAATATACCCCACATGAGCAACGACGCAAATAGACGGCCCCCGGACTACGGTAACGGCAGGGCAGGGGGTGCAAAGAATCTCCAGTGGAGGTTCAGTTGCTACCTAAAACGACTCGACCTGACAAATTACAACGCATGCACCCTGAGGACTGACAAGAAGATCCTGGAGCTGGAAGAAGAGATAGACAAGTTGTGTTGGAATATTATAGGACTATCCGAGGTGCGAAGAGAGGGAGAGTACACGGTGATTCTCGAATCCGGCAACTCGTTCTATCACCGAGAGGATGACCATCTGTCCCAAGGAGGTGTTGGATTTATCGTCCACAAGTCTCTCGTTAATAACTTTATAAAGATTGGGAGTGTCTTGACGAGGGTTGCGTACCTTATACTCAGAATCACCAAACGGTATTCGCTGAAGGTCATACAGGTTTACGCACCAACGTCGGCACATCCCGATGAGGAGGTGGAGGAAATGCATGAGGATATTTCTAAAACCATGCATTCCTTCAAAACCCACTATACGGTGTTAATGGGAGACTTCAACGCAAAGCAAAACAAGAAAATCGGTGAGCTGAAGGTAGGGAAATTTGGGATAAGGCAACGGAACCCAAGGGCACAGCAGATGGCCGACTTCAAGGATAAAGAGGGATTCTTTATGATGAACTCTTTTCTTTCAGAAGCAACCCCACAGACAGTGGACCTGGTCGAGCCCAGACGGTACGACAAAAAATGAGATTGACTTCATTATGACGACTAGACGGTAACTGTTCAGAAATGTCTCTTTTATCACGTGTCCGGTGCGGAAAATCCTGCCGATTGTCTATCCCGTGGACTCACCCCGATGCAGATAATGGACCATCCGCTTTGGTTCCACGGACCTTCTTGGGTTCACTTGGAACCCTCGCAATGGCCAATAACCGATTTCGACCCTTCGTCAGTGTCACAACCGCCGGAAGAGAAGAAGCACGCTCTGGTAGCGAGCGTTTCGAGCGAGATTTCTCCAATCATTGCTTTGGCGAACCGTTTGTCCTCTTGGTCGAAATTATTGCGTAGCGTGATTTACGTTTGTCGATTCGCGAAGCTTTTACCGCGACGTTCGTATATCGTAGCGTCCGATAACAACTACGCCGAGTTGCTAGTATTACGTGAACTTCAACGTGCACATTTTTCCGAGGAAATTACAAGATTACAATCGAATAGAACTTAGTCCGCCTTTCAACGCCTTAAGCCATTTTTACAAGATGGAATCGTCAGGGTAGGCGGACGCTTGTCCAACTCGCAGTTAAGTTTCGACCAACGGCACCCTATAGTTTTACCGCATAAAGACCATATCATGAATTTATTAGTTGATTACCATCATAAATTGAATTCTCACGCTGGCCCCGATTTGCTGATGTCAATCTTGCGTCAGAATTATTACAGCTTGCTTTCGAGTACGTCCTAAGCCGTCATTTCCGGAAATGGCGGACCTTAGGTCTTGTCGAGTAACACAATCCGTAAAGCCCTTTATGCACACCGGGTCTGATTTTGCTGGACCGTTTAAGGTCACGCTCACTCGCGGGCGTGGTATAAAATCCACAAAGGCTTACGTCTGCATTTTTGTATGTCTGACTACTCGGGCTGTGCATATAGAACTCGTTAGCGATCTAAGCACAGCGGGCTTTATGGGTGCATTTAAAAGATTTCTTTCCCGCCGGGATCCTGTAAGTAAATTGTATTCGGATAACGGTATGAACTACGTCGGCGCGAAACGTATTTTATCAGAACTACATGAGCTCTTAGCCAGCAAGTATTATAATTCGGAGTTCGCTCACATTCTAGCCGAGAACCGCATCGAATGGTCTCTGAACGTCCCAGCTGCGAGTCATTTTGGGGGGAGATTGGGAGACTAATGTTAAGAGTCTGAAGAGTCATTTATACCGAGTAATAATAGGAGATCAAATTTTGTCCTTAGAAGAGTTAAGTACTGTGCTCGCTCAAATTGAGTGCGTCATGAATAGTCGCCCACTTTGTCGTACGTTGTCAAGTGACCCCTCAGAGCTGCTGGCTCTAACTCCAGCACATTTTTTGAATTTAACGCCTTTGAAGTATTTGCCCGCCGTAGATTTAGACGAGAACAAACTTAGCATTTCCGCACGCCATAAATTATTAGACCGGTTGGTGCAATCGTTTTGGAAACGATGGAGGATGGAATACTTGCATACTTTGCAGTCT